CACTAGGTAACTCCCGACTACCAGCGATGGGCCGTAAGGATAATTCGTCGTCAAGCAAAAACACGTGGGCCGTCACTCCTAGCACTGCCTGACCCCGTCGGTAACAGGACAGTAACGAACACACCTGGGAGGGCCGTAGCCGTAGCCCGACACCCATAGCACAGCAAGCGCGTCCGCTTAACGACTGTACCCAGATGTGACGTGGAGCCGTACCAGGTAGACACCGTGCTGGAACTGAAGACGTTGGCCAACTCTGCTGAACCTGAGTCCCCAGTGTCCCAATCTGCGCCTTGTCTTGTAGACAAGTCTGGCCCGGCGGCCCCCGAGAGGCCTCCCCCTCCAGAGAGGATAGCCCCTCTAGGCCCTCAAGGGCACCCCATAGCAAGAGGAGTCCCTGGAATGCCCGTCGGGGCCAGCATTGGGAGGATGCTGACGCGTTGTGAGTCACCACGTTGCGCCTAGCCTGTCCTGAGTCTGACTTGCTCCCAGGCGCTGGCGGCTGAACAGAAGTGAAGCGCAGAAAACACTCAACCGTGACGAAGAACTCTCGATCGCACTGGCTTCGTAGCAGCCAGTGGCAGTCCACTGTGCCGTTGAAGGAAAAACTAGTGCTCGAACAAGACTGCATGAGAATACCAGACGATCCGTGTCCTTCTTGCGGAGGTGTACCAGTTAAAGCGCAAAACCAGAGCGCCAGCAAAACTGCGCAGGAGAGACCTTGAGCTGTACCTGGGTGTCTTGTCGTGTAGCTGGAAAGTCGAAGAGAGGAGCGGAACGAGGCCTCAACTCGAAAGCTTCCTTCAGGATACCCAGGTGCAGAAGATGGCCAACCCATGACTGGGGCCGCCCCTTGAATGGCTTGGTGCGGCAGGTCCTTTTGTAAATGTAAAAGCATCGGCAGGAGAAAAGCACTGAGGCACAGTCGACGCGCCTTCCGCTAGAACCGCCGGAAAGAGAAAAGAAGATCCGACTCCCTTCACCCCGCGGAAAGGTGATAACCCTACCGCTTACCTCTTGCCAATGTTGTGTAACTGCAGACAGAGGCCCGGGAATTGGGACCCGGTAGATCACAGCGACACGTGGCTCCACGGATGGCTATGGCTCAGTAAGAGGACGGTCCCTTAAGCTTCGCAGAAGGGGGACGTTGCGAGCCTCTAGCGTTGGTACCCAGAGCCTTGTTAGCAAAGCTACACAGCCTGCTGTGATCCATAGCGGCTACAACAACAACAACAACAACAACAACAAGCATCATAGCAGAAACAAAGCTAGTAGTAGTAATAATAATAGTAATAATAATAATAACAATAGTAGTAATACTAATAATATTTGTGATAGAAATAGCAGTAGTAGTAGTAGTAGTAGTAGTAGTAGTAGTAGTAGTAGTAGTAAAATTCATACTCGCAATAGTCTGAAATAATCAGTCTTGCCGGCGGCCTCTCCGAGATCTTCTGCTCGGCATCCGAGTTCGCCTGCGTGCCTTGGATGTACATAATGCAGCAATAATGCACTATACATGTTCGTTCAGACATAAGTAGGGAGAGAGAGAGAGAGAGAGAGAGAGAGAGAGAGAGAGAGACAGAGACAGACAGACAGACAGACAGACAGACAGAGATTGAAAAAGAGCCTGCGAGACACCGCGTGCGTGTGTGTGTGTGTGTGCGCGCGCGCGTTTTACTGCAGCAGCTAGAAACGCACCAGTAGCACAATGCATGTTGCTAAAGATATCTGAGATGATGCTTACAGAGATGTGTGTCTAGCAGTTATTAGCTACGTACAGATCTGTTCCCGTCCTTACTTCATGATAACCTCTACGTACGATTCTACGGTTGTGCTAGCCGTAGCGTCTCAGCTGAAGTGCGCACATCGATCACGATGGACTGCGCAATCCGGATGTCTGATTCTGGCTCGTCGGGTCATATGGAAAAAACTTTCGCAAGTATGCACCAGGTCACACAACTTCAAGTTGTTACGCAGGGATTGCAGCTGGCGCTTGACGTTGGCAGCAGAAGCTGCTTTCTTCGTCTTCTGCGCCTGCAGTGCAGTGTTGCAGAGTCTACATGGTGAGTTTCAGGGGACCCTAATATAGTACCCTAAATAGTAGGATCCTAGTTGTGAGGACCCCAAAATAAGGACCCCTAATTCTCGGAAACTCCCATATGTCTCCCCAATGCCCATGGGCAAACACTAGGTCTGCAGTGACTGCAGATCTCTGGACTTAAAAACTTCAACATGTCGGAAGGCCTACGTTTGCAAGATCGCACATGTGGGAGTTTCCGAAAATTAGGGGTACGGTATTTTGGGGTCCTTATAATAAGGATCCTGCTATTTAGGGTACTATATATTAGGGTCCCCTAGTTTCGGAAACTCCCATGTAGCACCCCGAAGCCACAGAGTTTGTATGGCCCCTTCCTTCGGCTCGAGCTTCAGGGCAATGGCATCACGCTTGTGGATGGCTCGCTCCATCTCAACGATCGTTTGCTCCTACAGGCTGCAGGTCTGCTTATCTGCAGGCCTCTTGAAAACCGGCGTTTGATCCCAAGGTGCTGTCCCTGTCAACGTAGCATTCCGCAGATCCTACAAAACACCCCTGCAACCCAGGAATAAGTAAGCTCCCACACGCAAACATCTGACCAAGCCAGAAGTATGGTCCCTGGTCCTGCCGCCGCTTCAACTGCTCAAGTCGCAGCTCCATGCGATGGATCTCCTGTTGACAAAACCAGACTCATCGCTCGGCAACTGCAATGTCCAATGCACGACTGCGTGCCTTTACCCCTTTCAACAACTGACGGAAATGGCACACTGACGGCGCGGCTGCAGACTTGGCAAGCTTCGACGATGTGAACTGTATCCAAAAACCCGATACTCGCAAACTCACGTCTTCATGACCCTAACGGGACGCGAACTGTTGAAGCGGGCATGTGTCAAAAAGACGTGCAGACTCATGACTCGGAGTACTACAGCGAACTCACATCCACAATCCTGAGCCAGACTTCTGTTTCAGCTCACTGCGAACAGCTCCTTCTTCATGGCCGCAGCGTCCGACTGGCCAACGTTGGGATCCAGTGCTGCCTGCCTCAGTCTGTTCGGAGTTTCCAAACAGAGAGTAGCGGGAGGCTGCCCCTCTGCCCTGGCGGGCTCTGCTTTGTCATAACGGGCTGGCCCAGGATTCTTCTGCCGGAACTGACAGCATCCCAGCTGCATCTCCCTCTCGAGCGTGATTTTGCGCTCCCAGAGAAGGACCTGGCAAGACGAAGTCGCATCTCCGAAGCAGAACTCTGCTTGCAGTGGGGAGCCTGACGCTCAGATTCCAGGATATCCTGGTTCATCTGGTCCTTCTCCAGCTTCAGCTTCTCGACGTCTCGCTCCTCGGCTGCGGCTAAATGATGCAAGATCGACTTGCGAGTTCTGCACTGCGCCAAGCGGCCATGTCCAGACACCTGGCCAACGAGCAAATACGACCAAGAGAGGACTGGAAGCGCAGCAACAGCAACATGAGCCTGTTCTCGATCTCCTTAAGCTTCTGAACAAATTCGGTCTCCATCATCTGATTCGTGTTTGAGATCTCACCAGATCGTGCTTCATTCTTCACCAGCGCGCTGTTCATGCGATCCATGTCGAAACCTGCGCAAAAGTCACAGCAGGTGCACCGACAGATGCCCTGTTCTTGGAGGACTCAGATGCCGAGGTGCGCAGATGCTTCATGTTGTTCTCCAGCTCTTTGATCTCCTTCTCGTGGCTGGAGAGCTGGCCCTCTATTCTGAGCTTCTTCCTGGACGAGCTATGTCGAAGCCATGCAGAGGCAGGTTTGGCCAAGCACACATCACCTATTCTCCATCCCCGCTCCCTTTGGGTTTGCTCAAACATGCCGGCAGAACTGTTCCAAGACCATTTTCTTATTCTTGTTCTCATTCAGCGTGGCCTGCTTCCATCCGAGAGTGACAGGAGACCCTCGTGGAGCCCGGAGAAATGACAGTTTGGGGCGTGGAGGCTCAGAGTCGTGTGGGCCTTGAGCTTGTCCGTCTCGCTGGAAATGGACAAGAGCTGAGTCTGCTTCTGGATCCAGTCCTCTGCACGGCTGCACGTGAATCAAGCTTGCTAATGTCTCTCAAGGTGGTGTGTCTTGCAACAGATTAGTGATGCAGAGAACCGCGGCAAACGTCCTTCTGCATTTCTGAACATTCCTTTGTGAGCTCGTTTATGGCTTTTCGCCTCGGTCCAATGACAATCTGCTTGTACCACTTCTCAGACTTGCCAGCTCAGGTCATCTGCAAAGCACCTCAACTTAGGGCGCCGCATGTGCTTCAGCTTTGCTTCCTGGGGCCCAGCCACATCCTCATCATTTCCGAGCTCTGCCTCCAGCTTCGTCCTGCGAAGTGCTTTTTTCATGCATGAAGCCACACCTCAAAGCTGGTGAAGCAAAGCTGCAGCCACACGGCCCGCCTCTTCTCGTCGTACTCCCTGTTAAGGCGATCGACGAACAACTGCTTCTTTTCGATCTGGTGATGCCGCTTGCGGATTTCTTGCTCCTCGACCGTGGGCGGGAATGCAAGCAAGCTCTGAAATACGCTTTTTGAGATCCAGTGTGGATAGGGATAAGAGACTTCGGTGCACGCAAGGCTCATACTGCTCGATGAGCTTTTCTCTGTCTGCCAACTCGTCACCTACAGAGAGTCACGAGGAAGAGACAGGGCTGCAAGCACACGTCAAGCAGGCTTTAGGTCCTGGGGCAATGGCTCAGCTGCTTGTGTCGATCTTTCAACATCTGGTTGTGGGCTTTGGTATTTAAGCTGTCCACGGTCACACGTGCGATCTCATTAAGGAGGTTCTGTGTCTCGACCTGAACACGACTCAGGGCACTACATGGCTGCACCAGGTCAGTGCAAGGAGCGGAACGCTCGCTCACTTGCATGCACAGGCATGAACACAGATACTTGAGCTGGGACCACCCAATGAGGAAACCGACCTCTTTGGCAGCTATCTCTTCTCGAATCTTCTTCATCCTCTTCCGGCCTCGGATCTCAGAAATCCGCCGTAAGAATCAAGGCCAACAGCTTCCACCGAAGGAACCCTCCGAGCCCGAAGCTGTTGGCCGTGACACGCTCACACGTGGTCTGTTCGCTCTCCTCCTGTGGATCGACAATGCAATTTTTCGGATGATCTTGCTACGACGAGAACCAGTCCAGCCATTTCCAGCTCGCATGGATGCACTCCCTCTACCAATAAGTACCAATCATCTGATGTTTGCTTCAATCAGTTGTACGTCATCTTCTGCTTTCTACCGGTCCTCCTCAATCTTTCCAACCATGGCGGTAATCTCGCGGGAGACATTCTGCATGTTCCGCTCGAGCACTTCCATGGATCTAGTCTGCTCGGTGATTCCAGCTTTGAGCTTCTGCGTCTCTTCGAGATGCTGATCCATGCCTTCGCATGTGGGGGGGAGATGGCACGACTTTCAGAACAAAGGCAAGCGGAAGCCTCAAGTTACCTGCTTACCGATCCCTTGCACATTGATGCGTGTGCCTGGGATGGGAAGAGTGGAAACTGTGACTGAGCAGCCAAGCGACTCTTGTTGAGGGTGGAGTACTGGTCCATGAGTTTTTCTCGCTCTTGCTTGAGACTCGTCATCTGGGACTGCAGGTACTGCATCTCCTTGTCATTCCGATCCTTGAAGGGAGCACTTCATTGGCGCACGGGCTTCGGATGTTGCAGACGCACTGAGCCACCGGCTCTAAGGGCACAAAGCTGCTCGTGCCTTTCCTAAGTCGACGAGCTCTGAATGCGGCAGAAACAACTGCAGCAACTTCCATCCTCCTGCCTGCTCCGTTCGGATTGAGGAGTGCAGGCCCCGAATCTCGTTCTCGATGGCAAGCTCTGCCTACGGTAGCACTAGGAGTAGTAGTAGTCGTCGTAGTAGTAGTAGTAGTAGGAGTAGGAGTAGGAGTAGGAGTAGTAGGAGTAGGGGTACGAGTAGAAGAAGTAGGAAGAGAATAGGAGCAGTGGTCGTAATTGTAGTCGTCGTAGCAGGGCAGTGGTAGTCGTCGTCGTCGTAGTAGCAGTGGCGGTGGTAGCAGCAGCAGCAGCAGCAGCAGCAGCCGTAGCCGTAGAAGTAGCAGTAGCAGGAACGGCAGTGAGAGTAGTGGTAGTAGTAGTCGTCGTCGTAGTAGTAGCAACAGCAGCAGTAGCACGATGACGACCACGATAACGAGCTACTGCTACTGCTACTGCTACTGCTACTGCTACTGCTACTGCTACTGCTACTGCTACTGCTACTGCTACTGCTGCTACTACTACTACTACTACTACTGCTTCTGCTTCTGCTTCTGCTACTGCTACTGCTGCTACCTCGACTACTACTGCTGCCTGCTGCTACTACTACCACAACTACTACTACTACTACTACTACTACTACTACTACTACTACTACTACTACTACTACTACTGCTACTGCTACTGCTACTGCTACTGCTACTGCTACTACTACTACTACTACTACTACTACTACTACTACGACTACTACTACTACCACTACCACTACCACTACCACGACCACGACCACGACCACGACCACTACCACTACCACTACCACTACCACTACCACTACCACTACCACTACCACTACCACCACCACCACCACCACCACCAGCACCATTGCTGCTACCAATGCAATTACTTCTGCTGCTGCGGCTGCTATTGAGCAAGGTTTAGTTCTGTTGTTCTTCTTCTTGTACCGAGGTGGACTCTCAATAGCTGACCATTCTCACTATCACAGGGATGAGGCTCAGAAACCTTAGATCTGCGAATTCGCACATTACAACTGCTGCCAGGGTGTCGCTACCCTGTGTGTTCCAACCCAGACTGCTGACAGGCGTCTTTGCTCGGCATGGTATTGGGGATACTTGTGGGGAGAGAAGTGCAGCAAGAGTGAAGATGCAGGTGGGAATCGCCTCGCTTTGCTCCTCGAGTGCTTTTTGCACGTTTTGCAGCGCTTCATCTCTGCGCTGCATGCCGACCAAGGAGGACCTTCATCGTGCAACGGGCTGTGCATTCAAGTCCCAAATTCATGCTTCATGTTTATGGAAGGCTAGAGCAATGATTCCAGGTCAGGCAGGGATAGATCGAAGCCTCGCCTCCACTGCATCATGAGCTGCTTCCTTAGCATGGGAGAGCCGCCGGCAAATGCATCCTGACTGCCGACGGTTGAAATCATCCTCAACGCCCACTCCCAATGACCAGCTCAGGGACTTCTCGAACTCGATGGCTTCCATCTCCCGGCTGGCCTCTCGGAGTGTCGCCATTGCGGCCTCCGTCTCCTGTCCGAAAGAGAACCGAGAGGGAGGAAACTGCTTACATCGCTCACGCCAGCGGCATCAGCATCACCGGCAGAATCACCAAAGCCGCAACATCACCATTCTTATCGGACGATGCATTCTCGTGATCGTCATCATCGTCATCATTCATCATCATCAGAGGCAGCATATTCAAGTGGATAGGCACGGTCATGTGGCAGTGGTGGCGGTATCTGTGCCGGCGTTGGTGGCGGTTTGTGCCAGTGTGGCGGTGGGGGCGGTGGTGGTGAGCTGTGGATTCTGATGGTGGTCGTTTGCGGCAGCGTTGGGATCATGACAACCACAGTAGGGTTGAGGAAGGTAGAGAGGAGGAGGACGACGACGAAAAGAATGATGATGCGGCAGATGAGTATGACAAAGAATTTCGCGTAATGACTGCCTGCTTGAGAGGAAGGAGAGTCTCGAAGCGCACAGCATCCATTGTGACTGCTGCATCTTACAACTGCAGGCCGGTCCTGGCGCTGTGCCGAGATCTGGGCATCGAGCAAGGCCTGTTCAACACAAACAGGGCTTAGCATATCTTGGCATCGTTAACTAGGCTGATAGACAATCATGGCTGCGGCGATGATGCTGACAATGATAGTCCTAAGCATGTGACCAGGATGCACGATCTCTGAATAATCATCATCACAATGTCTGTTAATTTCAAACCACGACAAATTTTGTAGCAGTCATAATTTTGTAGCATTACTGCTAGCATTACTGGTGCTGACGACTTCCCTAAGTTCGATGCGCATAACATCAGCAGCACAAGTACACGGCATTGGCACATTTCAGTGAACGCTCTGCAGGGAGGCGTGCTTAGGCCTTCCGCTCAGTCAGCCGCTTGATGTCTTCGTTCATCGAGTCGATCAGCAAGTCCTGCTTGCTCTTCATCTCCTCGATCTGCTTTATGTGGTCCTTGGATAGCTCAAGTTGAAATTGCCCGGTGCTGCCACTGGACTGTTTAGCCGCTTCTCAGCCAAGGCTCCTCCGCCTTGTAAGTGGCCCGGCGGGTGACCTGGATCTCGGCCTTCATCTGCTCGTTGTACTCCTGAACCTGCCTAACTGTGATGTTCAGCTGGTTCAGCTCGTCCTGCCAACAACTTACTTCCGCTCGCATCACACATTGCCGCGGATTGCGGATGGGTGCGGATGAGTGATTCGTCCTGCGACTTGGCCAGCCTTCGCGTGGCCTCCTCTACTTCGACCTTCTTGCCTTCCCAGTCGGACGTGACATTTTTCAGCTTCTCATCGTCCTTCATGCTTCATGCACGGAACCGCTTTCCCCTGTCTGAGCACATTAAAGCCTTTATGGCATTTAAAGAGTTCCAAGTCTCCTCCAGGCGCTGCCCCTGCACCATGGCATACCTGCTGCTAAGACGGGCTTATAGGCTAGCCATCAGGGCTTCAATAGCAGGGCTCCCGTCTGGTCCGGGCTGCTTCTATCAGGAGCTTTGCTGTGTGTTTCGGACATGAAAAGGTGCGGAACCTTCTGACTGTTAGAAAGAACCGACCAGAATCTAACCACCTGAGAAACGAATGTGAACGGCGATGTCCGGAAGACAGGCAACATGGGTCCCGATCACTGAGAGCGGCACTTGTCATGCAGCTGCTCTAGCTGCAGCTGCAATTTGGCAAGTTGTTGCTGGGCACCATAGAGAGTCACACCTGGTCAACGAACGCTTCGCATCTCTTCGATTCCTTTATCGATCTTTTGGTCATGGCAACCCCCCAGCAAGTCTGCACATGCATCTCAGCTCGCCTATGTCCTCCCGGTGCTTCACAAGCTTTTTAATCTCCTGTGGCACAACTGGGTCCAGATCTCTCAGTCCTTCCAATAAGATTCTGGTTGACGCGCCTCCTGCTTTTCTCGCAGCTGGAGGGTGACCCGGTCATTATGACCGGTCAGCTGCTTTCGCCAGGCTTCTTGGAGCCTTGCAGCATAACGCATGCGACATGAGAAGAAAGGGCCGCGACGAGTCCCAAATGAGTCCGAGGAAATGACCGCTTGTAAGCCGGATGGTCGGCTTTCAAGAAGGGGAAGTCGCCCTCACGAGTGTCTCGGACAATGAGAGCACCTCATCCCTGCGCACGACTTGAGGGCAGCACATCGTCCACATCTTCTCCCTCATCCTTGGGCAGGTATGAAGGCAACTAGCGTCTTCCTTTTATGGTCCAAAACATGCGCGCCTGTGGGTCCGGACCCGGTGAATCAGCCATACTGCACCTTGAATCTTCCCAAAGCAGCGTGACAGCGATGGGAGCGACAGAAATCTCTGAGTCTGTCGCCAGCGCTTCTCCTCGGCTCCCTTTGAGAGCCAGTCTAAGTTAGCCGGAAAAACGGCGGCAGATTCGCAATGGTCGTCGCATGATGCAAGGACATGAATGAACGCGGAAGAGAAAGGACAAATGGTAAGACCACTGACTGATGCGACCGTTGACAAAGCAAGTCGTCACCTAATGGCGACAAACCAGTCTGAGCAGCCAACGCATTGCAGCTGCGACTTTCCTCCTCTTGATACACACCGACACCAGCCACCCCGGCAATCTTGCAGTTCCTGGAGAACACGCATCTGTACAGAGGTCGCCTGATACCCTCCTGCAAAAAAGACGAGTCTGGTAAGCCCAGAATTTGGAGCGACTGGGTCGTCTTCGCAGGAGGGCCTGGGACTGGTGGTCTTCGTTAACGCTTGGCATACGTAGGACGTACGGACATGCATCAAGCCATGGGCGTGGCGTTTAAAGCTGTGTGACTTTGCGCCGTGCATGTATTGCACGACAATCCGGTATTGGCATGGCCGCTCACGCCGCATGGCCAGGTGAAATGATACAAGGTGGCAGCTGCCGAGCATGCATAGGAGGACGTGAGTAGTCCGCCGAACTACTTTCTGCGCAACCAACACCATGGAGACCTTTGAGCCTTCCAATTCTCTGCGTCCGGAATCCACCCAATAAAGAACACATCAAGCAGCGATGGCTGCGCACGCGGGAGGTGAAAAGAGCTATGAGCTTGCCGAAGGACATTCGGCTCTCAAACCTACTTTTGCTAGTACTGCGCGTTCTGAGGAGATGAGCACCATGGACACTCCTGGTCATTCGTGACAGCTTTCACGTTCCATACAAGCTGACTGAGTGAAGATCGCCGTCGTTTAACTGCTCGGCCAGTAGATTCGAAAAGTTCTTCATCCGAGAAAAATTTGCCATGTGTTCTTGCCTTGAACATCTGCACCCAGATGTTCCAGTCGTCCCGATTCGCTGCGGAATGGCATACCTCCAGACAGCATGCCCTCGGCGCCCTGCACCCCAGAAAGCGCAGAAGAAAAGCTCTGCGATTCTCAGGCCAAGCAACCGTGCATTCCACGCGCGTCTTCTTCAGGACGGGAAAGCCCGAGATGATCTGCCGTTGAAGAACGCGAATGCTGAACTTCTCGAATTCCGTCGCTTATCCGCTATCTGAGGTGCAAGCACAGGGCTCACTGACCGTTCCGCAGTGCCTTGCACTTTGGGCAGAGTTGCACGACGCTTCAAGCATGTGCAAGACGGGGACTGCACAGTTTTTGTCTGTCTTTGTGCAGGAGAGGGGCGGGCACGTCGCTGCTCCGGTGTAGATATGCGCCCCACACCTGGCCAAACAGCTGAGTCCCAACTGAACCTCGAATAAGCAGACCGCGTAAGCGGGAAGGCAGCACTTGTCGCATGGCCGCAGGTCCATCTTCTGCTGGACGTTTTGGTCCATGGACCAACCCAAAACCCAATCGCGGATCTCTTCGACCTTTGAAGAATGACCAAGCATCTCCAAACACCCAAACACGGAGACTCCCGGCCTTGTCGTTGGAAATGTGAGCTTGCTCAGGGAGGTCCAGATCCTCAGCCCCAACAAAGAGAGAGCCATGCGCCAAAGCACTCCGCCTGGCGAGGTCGGCACATAGGGTGAAGGAATGTCGGTCTCCATGAAGTCCGTATTGTCAATCGCAGCATTGTCCGGATCTTCGATTGCATCTGCGATGTCAAGGAAGCGGTTCAGGAAGAAGAAGGACATATTGATCATGCCTGCGACAGGCCATCCCACTCTTTGGATGTCAGTCAGCAAGACAAGCCACGAAAAGCCACAAGATCTGGCCTGCGTTTTTGCAGTCAATACCAGCGTCGTAGAACGCGAGATCTAAAGGGAACTCTGCACAGTATCCTTAGGCAGTTCGTGGAGGCTGAGTATGAAACAGTGGAAGCAAAAAGGGTTCCTGTATGCCAGATACTTCACGAAAGAGTACAGCCACAAGCTCCCTGCTTGAACACAATACCTCGAATTTTACAGGCAACTAATCCAGGTCCCTGGCGACAAAGTGCAACACTGATCTTCGCCACAACCTCTGGGGCCATGTTCCTCTCCCGCAACCTGCAGCTCAAGCTTGGCTACTACGTAGACCTTTTAATCATTGACACAGCAATCACCCAAAAACAAGACTTGATAGACAGATTAGATCAGCGAGATGAACGGGCGGAAGAGCAGAGGAAAATCGAAGCTAAGGCTCAGTATCCAAATACTTCCAAGAAAGAGAAAGGACGGGCCTCTCCCGAACCGTCTGCAGATGTGCGGTCAGGAGGGCCTGCAGGGGCGAGACTTTCGAAAGGGCATACATGACTCCATGACTCCATCGCGCCTTCAGAAACTCCGCCTGGGGACGGCGATCTTCCGAGAGGATCTTCGGAGTAGGCGGTGCTGGCAGGTCGACAAAAATTGTCTTGAGTCTTTGCCGAAGCGAAGTGAGAAGTGCGTTCGTGAGTCGTGTGAAGCACCGCACCTCCCAAGGTGCCCGGTGGCATTGTGACACGAAGCAGCATCTCCCGCACCAGCGGCGGTCCCGTTGCGTCAGGCTTGGCCCTGGGTCGCACAAAAAGAGCACTGTTTTTGTCTTTGAGATTCCCGTGGAAGCTTGGGCAGCAGCAGCAGCTCGGTGTGAATGTGCTGAAGTCAGGCGTGGATTCATCAGCGAGATACAGAAGATGAATTGCTTCTTGTGCTGTGGCCTTGTAGAGCTGGAAGTTGGACTGCTCAGGCGGCGGGCCATAGCGGACCAGCATCTGCGCGGCCTGCGAGTGTCGGCACATCCGGAACCAGATCTTGGTGGAGTCAGGGCAAGATCGGCCAAGTTCCTCCCTGGCCTCCGTGACCTCCTGCCTGTTGACCAAAACCTTGCAGTATTGCACCTGGCACGCCGTGGGCAGAAGGGAAGCCGTTCGATCACTCTGATGCGGCATCAAGAGGCTCGTTGTTCGTTCTGCTTAACTCACTGAATCTTGCCTGTAGATACATCAGTGACAACGCTTCAAACTCGGAAGCTCGGAATGAACACTGAAATTCGATTTTGTAGGCAAAGAAATTTTCGCGTAGCTTTGTTCAGTCAGCTTGTTTGTGCGACCCTACAAACATGCCGGGGGAGAACCAGGTAATGGGGCAGCATCTTCGGGCTGTGCTTCTCGGCCAGCGCCAGGCACTTTGTCCAGTCTCCATTGCGGGCATACATGTCCAGCCTCATCTGCTGCATTGGCAACTGTCTTGCTGAACTTTTCGGATGTCTGGGTGCCAGGCGCGCTGTCCACGTCTCCCGTTCGTCGAATCAGCTCGTCTCCATCGCCTCGCCATCGGATCGGAAGCTCGTAGCAACTCCGCTGAGACGTACAATGGCACGAACCGAGATCGCAACCTTTGCCAACCAAATCGGACTTGTACCTGCCATGAAGCTGCGCACAGACAGAAACCGCTTCTCATGACAATGACTGTCAAAACACATGGTCTGCAACAGCTTCTGCAGGTTGCGACACGGCGCACCTATCCTCCACCACACGGACCATGTCTGGGCAGTGCTGCTGCGCCAGCTGCCGCGCTTTGTCCCAAACCTCCAGCCACGAGAACGGCAACACGGTGGGGCTGCGCCGCTTAGGCGCCATGCCTGGCCTCGCCAGCGATGTAGCAGTTCACAGCTTCGCGGAAAGCGTCGATGCTTTCGTAAAGCTCTGCAGCTGCCTGTCACTTGCAGATTACAGGTCGCCACGGATCCACAAGGACAGAGGAGTTGGCCTCAAAGCGCTGGATAAGCTTCAACCTCTTCGAGACAATCGACACGATCTCGGAGTAGCGCTCCTTTCGAGCCACCGTCGCAGAGTCTGTGGATTACACAGCCCCCTTACCATTCGCTTTACCCTCATGTTCCCTCTCAAAATTTCCACCCCGTCCGGCGCGTGCTTCATGGAGAGGCGCACCGCGTTCTCCCAGACCTGTCGGAGTCTCGTGACTGCGGGGCTTCCCAACGGCACAGAATGCGATACGGTAGCACCAAGTCGACAACATCCATGAGCAAGATGTACGAAAGGAGCACTACTGCCTCCACCCTGTGAACAGAACCATCATGCTCCCGGGGACTTTTCGGGCGTCTCCTGTCCAGGCTCCTTCCTGAAACGAGTCTAACGAAGCGCGACTGAGAACTTGCCTCGCTTCACGTGCTTCAGAGGTTCTGTACAAGCTAGGCCCTTCGCAAGAGGCCCTGTACAAGGTAGGCTTCCGCCAGGCTGTCATCGTAGCTGAGCAGCCCTATGCTGGCAAAAACGAAAATGTAAGAGTTGCTCACCTGCCCTGCTGCATCATCATGGAGCGCTTCTTCTGAGTCTTCTGCATCTGCGTCTCCTGAAGCACCGAAATCTGTCAGGCACACACAGGAAAATGCAGCATCTTGAGGGCCGCAGGCGTCCTCATCACCATTGGGCTTCCACAGCCCTCGGTGCAGGACTTCTGCCGCTGCATCATGAACCTCGAATTGGCACATCCGACCACTTCCGATGTCCTGTTGGAGATAGTGCAGATACTGCTTTATGCTTCAAGATACTGCTTTATGCTTCAAACGGTTCAAAAGTTCGCGACGACCGTCTTCGTGACAGAAGCTATGAAAAGCGGCCTTTCTGCTTACTCAGCTGCGACCAAAGAACCTTCTCCCAGCCATGGAAGCGACCGCGCTGGCTCAGCGTGCCAACGGCATTTGGAAAAGCGTGATGGACCTTATTTTTAGGCGCTTGGACTGCTGCAACCTGACGCGGGTTAGCAGCAAAGGGGAAAGGCAGGGGGGGGGAAAGGACCTAAACCCAAAAGGACCGACAGGTCCGCTACGAAACCCCTCGGGCAGCAGGCGCCTTGCGCCAGCCGTCTCGCTGTCCTCTATTCTGCCACTCTCTGCGGCGAATCGAGCCCATAACAAGCAAGCGCTCTTTCACGATTTTGATTTGCTGAGCATCGGTAGCTAGCGAACCGTCCCAACCTAGCCTAGCAGCTAGCTCGCCCGGCGGACGAGGAACCCTACGAAGATCAGCATGCCCCGCGCAGGACCAAAGCACATGATCCACACACGGAACCACCGCCTGACGACAGTCCCAACACCAGCCGTCTCGCGCGCCAGCGCCCTTGCGAGACGCATCAGTGTGCATGCCCCCGACCAAACATGCTAAAGCGTCCCCGTCCAACTCCTTAGCAATGCCTCGCAACCTATCAAGGAGGACGTCGGAGTAGCTCAGGCCAGCCGCCCGGGCCACCTGCGAGTCTCTGCGACTCGAAACCATCCACTCAGCGAAAGCATGTTGCCTCCACGATTGGCGCAGTTCATGCAAAGCTTTGGCTTGCTGTTGCAACGAACACCGGACGTCAAGCGAGCCGCACGGGCCGTGCCACACACCCCAACCACGGTGCAGCCAGCCCCAGGAGCGAAGGAGAGACGAGACCTGACTCATCAAGGCCGGCTGAGGAGCCTGAGGACTCGGAACCGGGAGCTGCCGAGCAGAGCGAAAACGGGTCCAATGACAAAGAGCGGCCAAGACGCGGACGACGGCGAAACACCTGAGGTCAGCGAAATGACTCCACGCGACAGCACACACAAGCTGACGGCTCGCACGCCCAGCACCGTTTAACCGACCCTTCATGGCAGTACGCCAAGAAGCCCAGTAGTGGTTGAACGGTTGGAGAGCGACCAGTGATGTGAGCGCCCCACAAGCCGCACAAGGAGGAAGCATCGCACGGGCCACTTGGAACCTGAAGCTTTGCCTGACGGGAAGCAAGCCAATGCGAATGCCTTTGGCACGAACCTTATCCAAACGGGCCTTCTCGGCAACAGCCTGCCGTCGCCGAGGAAGGCCCATGACCGCCCCAAGGACTTCGCCTTCACCTTTAACCGCCGGGTGGCGGCCGTGCAACGAAGCCGCCGCAGCCAGTGTGCGGCCCTAGATCTGGGTTTTCTCGGCATTCGTGCACATGCCGGAGATGGTGCTAAACTCATCCCACTCAGAAACAACGGCAAGGACGCGAGGAAGAGCGGTACCGACGCAGGTGCGATCATCGAGGAAGAGGACCTGCTTGAGAGCCGCCGCCAAAGCCAAAGGAGCAAAGGGATCGCCCTGCGGCAGCCCACGAACACCGTGGAGGGCCTCGTGGGCGACGCAACCACCAACGCAAGTCCAACGGATCTGGCCACGCCACTGGTGCTGCAAAAGAGTCAACGCCGGACCTTCCAAACCCCATTGCCGGAGAGCATAAAGAGCAACCTCGGGCTCCAGACTATCAAAAGCCTTCAAGAAGTCGAGAGCGACCGCCACACCGTGAGTGTCGGCCGGGGCCTCAAGCTGCAAGTCCAACAGCAAACACTCCGGGCCGGGCGCCTCAAAGCCACCGCCCTGCCCCGGAGCGAACAGAGGAGCGACAAAGCGAGTCAACTGGGACGTAACGTGCGAAGTCCACACTCTATACAGCAAGTTGGCAATGCTGCCTAACCTTATCAACCCTGGAAACCTTATCCTGGGAGGAACCCTTGGGGATGTAGACGGTGAGACAGTGCAAGCACGACTGTGGCCACACACCCGCACGCTCGATGCAAGCGAGAACCTGGCAGAGACGCTCAAGTGCAGCGCTAGGCAAGGCAAGCCAAAGGTCGACAGTCCACGCGTCAGGCCCAGCAGCCTTCCGTTTCATGCGGCCGAGAATGGAACGGAGGACAGGAAGGGTGAGAGCCGAAGGCTCGAAGCTCTCAACCGGTGTGCGAAAGTTGTCATCGTAGGCCTCACGGTACTCTTGTAAAACGACCGCGGCGGATCGCGGCGGAGGCGCGGTGACTGGTGAGGAGTTGCCCCCACCAGCTGTGCAAACACTTGGCCGAAGCAGCCTTACCAGCGTGAACGGTGTCGTCACGCGGGTCTTTAACCAACTAAGGAGGAGGCTGAGAGGCGTTAACCCACTTACACGCCGAACTGAGGTCGTGAACCTTACTGCGCCACTGCTGCCGCGCAGCATCCTGCCTACTCCTAATGGTATCCTGAAGAAAGTTTTTTAGCCCAAGCCTCAAGCAGATCCCAACAACGATGCCGAACGTGGTGCAAAGGACCTTTGGCACGGGAAACCGCATGGGTGACCCTGCAGAGGTGAAGCTGCTGACAAATCTGACAAGCATCCCGGGCATCTTGAACCCGACACTCACGGATATGGCGGATGAGGCGACGCATCTGGCGCTCCCGCACGGGTTGGCCAACGCCGTAGCAGGAACCCCCATGACACACCGTAGGCATGGAACCAAGCGGCCGCTGACCGTCTTGGGTGCTCAACACCCCCGCTTGGACAAGATAACACTCCGCATCATTGGACCAGCGAGCCCAGATGGCGTCAACCAACCTCTAGCGACAACATGCGACAACCCTATCCCAATCCGTGGCGGAGCAAGCAACCGCGTCCCAAAGGCTGCGCACGCTGGAATCCGAAAGCTCCGGCAGCTCGTGCGTTTTCCTACAGGTGGCGGTGAAACGCCACTCGCAGCAACCATCCGGCTTACTAACGCTAGTGAGCTCACCCTGCAAAGTAGAGTGGTCGGCAAACCTGTCGAGACAGACGCTGCCCTTTGGAGAACCAGCATGAGCAGCTTGATTGAGACTTAAACCGTCAATGGGGACAGAACCCCTCTCATGCATCCCGGAAGTGAGGAGCGAGAACCCCAAACCCGCCAGAACGGGCGAGTGATGGAAAAGGCAACTCGCAGAGCGATGAAGACAATCACGGCCTCGAGGCGAAAGGAAACACGCAAGTGCGGGCGGCGCGCCTCCCCAAGCTCACGCTTACCTCTCAAGCCGCGCCTTGTGATGGAACAGGCAACACGCGGAGCGATAAAGAAGATCCCCGACTCAAGGCGAGAGCAACACTGCCAACATACGGACACAAGACGACAATGACCTGAGGGACCCGGGCGTCGGGCCTCCCGAAGCTTTCTGGTCCCCCGTAGTCCGCGCAAGGTGATGCTGAAGGCCTCCCACGTGGCGGTGAAAGCCTCCGGAGATATTTTCCTGCGCATGCGAAACCTGAACGACCTATCCTCCGGAGGATGCTTTGGATTCTCGGAAGTTCTATTCCTGAACACATAAGCCGGCTGCAACCACTCACTGACCTGAGCACGACATGCTTTCCATTTGCGAAGACGCTCTTTCCGGGGAGGAATGGCGACTTCTGACAACAATGGGTCCTCGCAACAAGTGAGGACAGTGAGGAGGGGGAAGTCCTCCCACCTAATCTCCAAATTGCAAGAAACGACACACATGAAACTTCTGGGTATGTCCCGCGGTCTTGCCTGACGCTCGACGAACCGCGCGACTGTTCTCACTTATGGCATGCGAGCCTGGCCATCGGAATCTCATGAACAGCCGCCATTGATAGTGCCATCGCCAATCGGTGGAGGCCACCGACTGCTGAATGCGAACCGGGTCAACGTGCAGCCCGTGCCTAAAGGCAGATGAGGCACGTCCTCCATCCCGTGAACTCGCCGCAAGTGGCGCGAGCGCTTCTTGGAATAGTCACACTTACGACTTCCTACCTTACCCGTGTAATACACCTTGAAATCGCACAAGGGGCACGGCCACCAAACCCGTGGCGCGTCAGGGAGGGGCATCGGAGTGCCCAGCCGAAGAGGCCTCGGAGGGCCCTCATCCGAAACAGCCTGAGTGGGTACTCCAACTGACGATTCATGATGCTTTGACGGCGTGAGTTGCAAGTGTCCTGGCTCGGTATCACCAGGAACTGAAGCGAAAACCGTAAGGCCTCCAGCTTGATGCGATGCGAACTCCGTGAGGCGAGCACTGGATGCAGGTGCAGGCGCCGACTTGGGGCCCCGGCGAGTCGGGGAGGGCGCCGTTTCCGATGCGAAGTCCGAAAGACACACAGTGGGAGGTTGCAGTACGCTCAGGACCGCCTCCGCGCAATCCATCACACTTAGGCTTGCCTCCTTGGGCGCGAGGCTGGAGCTGATCCTGCAGGTCGCCTTCCAACCACTCATAGTGTTTGGCAGTGCGCTGTAGTACAGCAGAACTGGTGATCCCTCACCCTCACGATTGAAGAGATAGACCTGCCCTGACTCGCGAACGATGTAGACTCGAATTTTAAGGACATGGGCGGCAGCATAAACTTCCAGGGCACCCACATATTGACCAGTCTGAGAAATCGTATCGACATAATCTTTAAAGGACTTAGACCAATGTGAGTCATCAGGCCCTCGCTTGTCCCAGAAGGACTCGTAATCCTCGAAGTGGCGGCTCATGTGCGTGGTGATGCACGCACGAAGTTGCCTATGAGACCTAGTCTTGTGCTGGAAATGCGACAAAGCCTGGGCCATGGACAGCCACATGCAATTTCCCTTCCTTTCATTAGGGCGTTTAAAAGCACTGCTAGGGAACCATGGGGTGGGAGCTTCCTCATGCACCGTGTCCAGATCAATCAAATCCTCAAACGCACCATTCAACTCTCGACTACGGCTCCTACTGCGAGGGCTTGTCCGAAGATGCATGGGCCTGGCGGCCTCGGGCTTCTCCCTCAACGTGCGGTTGATGCATGGGCACGTCACCCCCTGGGGCTTGGGAGTTGCGGTAGACTTCCTTGGTGATGGTAAGCTCTAGAACATCTCCTTCGAAATCCGTAAGTGTGGGCTGTACCAACTCTTTGCCATCAGATCTAGAGGCTGGGAAAGTCCAGGTGACTCCATCCCTTTTCAATACAGACATCGTCAAAACCCGAATCCGAAAGCCTCTTCGTAATCCCAACCCCTAGGTGCAGACTGGAGCCGCCACACGGTGCGCACAGGAACCAGTCTGGCATCGGAGCCAGACACTCGGAGTCCCAACTGAAAACGGCCATGCACTACACCGTGCTCTGCATTGTGTGAAACGCGGTAAAGCGCAGCACCCAAGTGTTACGCGCATCCTGACGGGAAGGCACACTACGCTCAGAATCTCGAACCTCGACTCTGCTGCAGAGTTTAGGTGCATGACGGTGGGTGCGTAAAACCCAAGCCCATCTTACGCGCAGGCTACCCCCACTCTAGCCTGGGAGCTTACACTTTTCAAAGCAGTCCATCCACTCTATTTAGGCGCTTGGTCTGCTGCAACCTGACGCGGGTTAGCAGCAAGGCGAAAGCAGGGGTGGGGAAAAGACCTGAACCCAAAGGAAACCCCTCGACCAGCAAGCGCCCTGCGCCAGCCGTCTCGCTGACCTCTGTTTTGCCACTCTGTGCGGCGAGTCGAACCCAAGCACTCTTTCTAGCAGCTAACTCACCCAGCGGACGAGGAACTTTACGGAGATCGGCATGGCCAGGGCAGAACCACAGCACGTGGTTTACACATGGCACGATTGCTTGATTGCAGTCACGGGCACCGGCACCCTTGCGGGAAGCATCCGTATGCATGCCTCCGACCAAGCATGCTAAGGCATCCCCGTCCAAATCCTTCGCGATCCTCCGGAGTCTGTCGAGCAAGGCATCCGAGTACCGGAAACCTGCTGCCTCAGCAACCTGAGAGTAGCTGCGACTCGAAACAATCCACTGACCAATCGAGTGCTGGCGCCACGATTGGCCCACTTCGTGCAGAGCCTTCGCCTGCTGCTACATTGAGCACTTGACGTCAAGGGAGCCGCGCGGGCCTTGCCTCACGTCCCAACATTGGTGAAGCCAGCCCCACAGGCGAAGAAGGGACGAAGCCTAACTCATCAAGGCCGGCTGCGGAGCCTGAGGACTCGGAACCGGGAGCTGCCGAGCCGAGCGAAAACGGGTCCAACGACAAAGGGCGGCCAGGACGCGGCCGACAGCGAGACGCCCAAGGTTAGCAAAGTGACTCCACGCGGCAGCGCACTCAAGCTGACGGCTCGCACACCCAGCAGAATTTACCCGACGATGGCAGTACCCCAACAAGCCCAGTAGTGCTTGGACTCGCCAACGGTAGGAGAGCGACGGGTGATGAGAGCCCCCCATGCAAGCCGCACACGGAGGAAACATCGGGGCAACCTGGAACCTCAAGCTTTGCCTTACAGGGAGTAAGCCGGTGCGAATGCATTTGGCACGAACCTTATCCAAACGGACCTTCTCGGCTTCTGCCTGCCTCCGTCGAGGAAGGCCCATGACCGCCCCAAGAACTTCACCTTCACCTTCAACCGCCGGGTCGCGGCCGTGCAACGAAGCCGCCGCAGCCTGCGTGCGGCCCGAGATCTGCGTTTTCTCGGCATTTGTGCACATACCGGTGATGGTGTTAAACTCATCCCACTCAGAAACAACCGCAAGGACGCGAGGAAGAGCGGTGCCGTTGCAGGTGCGACCGTCAAGGAAGAGGACATCGGGGAAGCGAAACTGACTGCGAGAAAAGACAGCCTGGAGGGCCGCGGCCAAAGCCAACGGAGCAAAGGGATCGCCTTGCAGCAGCCCACGAGCGCCGCGGAGGGCTTCTTCTTCGACGGTTGGTCTGCTGCAACCTGACACGGGTTCATGATGACATCATTTTCTGTGTCTTGCTTGGAACCTAACACAGTTTAGCAGAAAAGGGAAAAATAAAGCGGCGAGGGGGGAAAGAAGACCTAAACCCTAAAGACCGGCAGGCCTACAAAGGAACCCGAAGGGCCGCGAGCACTCTGCGCCAGCCATGTCGCTTGCCTCTTATTTGACAGTCTCTGTGGCGAATCCAACCCATGACAACCAAGCGCACTTTTCACGACCCTCCTGACAGCGACCTCGCCCGCAACGCGAGGAACCTTGCGTAACGTACGTATGCGGCCCAGACAGCACCTTTGCGGGAAGCGTCCGTGGCACAAACAGGCAATGGCATCACCATCCTCATGTTTGGCGAGACGCTGGCGTCCGTGTATGCGAAACACTGCAAGCCTTCTGCCTGAGCGACCTGGGAATTCCTGCAGCACACGAGTGGTGGCGCCAAGACAAAGGCACGCGCACACACACACACACACACACCAGCCTTGGCAAGACCAACCCCAAGGGCAAACCTCACTCATCAAGGCAGGCTGAAGTGGCTGAAGGGCCTGAGGACTCGGAACCGGCAGGGAACGAAACCGGAGCCAAGGGCAGAGAGCAGCGCCGACACGGCCGGTAGCGAAACACCGGACGTCACCGAAGTGACTCCAGCAGACGTGGCACTGAAGCTGACAGCTTCGAACTTTGATGACGGCCCCCCAAGACGCCCAATAGCAAGAACCCAACGCAAATGCCTTCGACAGGAACCTGGCAAAGGCAGCCTGCCGCCGCCGAGAAAGGCCCATGACCGCCCCAAGAACCGCCTTCACCTTTGGGAAGCGATAGTGACTGCGACAGAGAACAGACGGAAGGCAGCCTCCACGGCCACGGGGGCATTCGGGCCTCCCGTAAGGGCATGGAGCACAACCTCTAGTTCAAGACTCTCGAACGCCTCCAAAGCAAGAGCGACCGCCACACCGTTACTCTCTTGAACAGCACTCCGGCTCACGAGCCGCAAAACCACCGCCCTGACCGGGGGCGAACAAAGGGGCGACAACTCGACTCAACTGAGATGGGACGTGCGAAGCCCGCACTCACTCTATACAGCAGAAGGAGATGGGGCGCAGCGGCAGGCAAAACAAGCCACAATCGCTGGTCACGGCGATCCGTAAGGAGTTGTCCCCACCAGCTGTGCAAACAGTTGGCCCGATCGGCCTTACCCGTATGAACGGTGCCATCCTCAGGGTCTCCAGACGGAGAGGGTTGAGAGGCATGCACCCACTTACCAACTTACACACCGAACTAGGTTCGTGAATCTTGCTTTTTCAATTATTACTGATGGGCGGCAGGGGCGGAAGAGGACGAAAGGCCTGCAGGCTCACTAAGCATGGACGTGCTTCTAGGCATTTGGACTGCTGCAACCTTGCATAGGGTTCCGGACCTTGATTGTGTAGCATTCGGACTGCTGTAACTTGTTTTCCGGACTGCACGGAACTGTTGACCACATGTGTACCCACGATCAAGTTCTAGAACAGCCCAGTTGCGTCGTGGAAGAGCATCTCGTTCCAGCGGTGCTTTCCTGCAATTCTTCTGCATGACACCTTGCAAAACCCTGAAGAGCTGCTGCGATCTCAAGTGTCCAAAGCCGCCTCCCAGAACCATGGCCATCACGTTATGAAGGACAGGCCAGGTGCGGCCAGGATCCTGTGCCAGGAACTCGTTCCAAGGCAAGCCTGGGCTGTAACATTTTTAGGGTTAAGGTTTTAAGATTTTTAAGTTCAACAACAAGGAAACCTGTGGAGTAATGTTGGTACTCATGTCGGCTTCCATATTAGCTAGCCACCGGCGGTAAAAGAGTTGTAGTACGAGGAAATTGCGCTTCAGGTGCCGGGGCCTCGGTTGGGGGGTACCCTGGCACAAGTTTAGGGTTTCGGACCTCTCTCAGACCAAAAGGCAAACTCAACTCAGTATAAATACTCCCAAATTGGAGCCGCCTGGAAGCTATGAGTGAAGTTGGTGATGAACATCCAGGCCGCGGAGTAGCCGATGCGAGCGAAGAACGACACGGTGAACATGAACCGCCACCCCTCGCTCAGCGGACGTCCCAGAGGATAGGTACCAAGCAGCCAGATGCAGGCCCACAGGGAGAGCACGAAGGCATTGTGCTTGATTCGGCGGGGAATCCACTTGCTCCAGAACCTGAGCAGGAAGGGAATTGACGTGCAAGCCAGCAACATGTGTGGCCTCTCTATGCCTCTCTCTTTCCCTGGCTGTAGCTGTAGCTCTGATCGGCCATCAACCTAATCGAGCCGAGAAGCTCCTTGTTGCACTTGCCACCTGCACCCTCGTCGGGGAAGTGCATCCACCACTCCAAGGCGAACAGGGATCCGGTGTCGTTCAGGCCAAAGAAGTGGATCACAGGGATAAAGGGAACGGTGAGCAGGTATTTGTACCAGTTGGAGCTCCATGGCCCGGCCCACTGCTGCAGGGCGTAATGGAACTCCTCAGGGTCCCAGCCGAACTCGCCCTGGATCAGCAAGTCCACAGTTGAGGCATGATGCCTGTTGTGCTCCAGCACGAACTCCTCCCACGGGAGAGAGACAAAGTCGGCAAAGGGGTGTGTCAAGAAGCGCTGCCACTCGTAAACCGGGAAAGTGGCGCCATGCATCACATCGTGATCGATGTAAATGTTCTGGATGGCGATGTACGAGAACGGGACGCCGAAGCAAAGCGTGCAGGTCCACCAGTAGTCCGGGAAGGTAGCCAAGGCTGCACAGTAGCCGATCACCATCAGCACTTGACTGCAGAAAATTGCGGTAAGGACATTCCACCTACGCAGTCCAAAGTTGGGAAGGTATTCAATATGTGAATTGCTATTCCTTCTTGGGTTTAAGTGCTCATGTAAATATAGAGCGTTGCCCAAATATGACAAAGCTTCATGTAGATCATCTGCTCCTCGCTCGCTCAAATTGCTATTGAGCAGCACACAAGGAGCAAAGAAAGTGTTCTCACATCCGCACTTCTAGAACGAGCCAGACATCCCTGCTAGGAAGCGAGACACAACAACAAGGACACTTTCAGCCAAAGCACCGGGGTGATCTTGGTGAACAAGAAGGCCAGATTCTGCGGCATCGGGTCTGGCTTGTTCGGAGTCGGGAAGAGCCGATTGGTCTTCAAGCTCCTGTTCTCGTCGTTCTTCTGAACGGAGAGCATCTTGTCGCTGCTCTGGGCAACGCCTGCCGCATTAGGATCTCCCTCGCCCGGCAACGCATTCTTGAGCGCAGCAATTTCGTGGTCGTGGGAGTATTTCTTCTTAAGCTCCTGATTTTTGTGTTTTTGGGGGGTATTTTTTCATGCCCAAAATACTCACAGTACAAATAGCAGTACTAATACCAATAAATAAACGACACTTACTCAGCTCCTCAAGATACTCGTCTGCTCCATAGAAGATCGATGCCTTGCTGTGGGCGGCCTTGCCCAGGAGCGGGGCACTTGTCGCCATGGGCACGATGGCAACTGAAAACTGAAAAAGGTCGGTTTGACTTCGAGCCTTCCAAAGCCTTGCCTGCAGCACGCTTGGCATTCTGCATGCCTTCTTCCTCCATATTATACTATGCTATATTATACTATACTTTACTCTGCTATACTTTCTGTACTATACTGTACTGTACTTCACTGTACTATACTGTACTTTACCGTACTATACTGTACTAAACTGTACTATACCGTACTATACTATACTGTACCGTACTACACTACAGTATACTATACTATGCTAATGTTATACTGTACTATATTATACTATACTGTTGCCAGCACACCCTGAAACCCATATTGTCACACTCCTGTTCAGGCCCCTACTACCTGAAACGAGCTCAACCACATGTAACAGACTGAAATCAACCTCCCTAAACCTTTCACCCTAAATTCTAAACCCTATAGCCACATCCTACACCCTGAATCCGAAATCTTAACCCTACATTCCTAAACCCGAAACTAAACCCTTTCTCAAAACGGAACATACATCGGCTATGACGAGCCTCCTCCAAGCGATCCGACTCCGAAGAAGCCGTTTCGCTCACCTCGAGGGTCGCATAAGGAGCGGCAGGGTTGAGGTCTTAGGGTACACTGCCGCACCCTGAGGAATGGACTGACAGGTAAGCGTCGATGGCACGCGAATAGTTGCCAGTCTCCTGGTCAGAGTCCAGCGACAAAGCCCAAGCGAACGTCCCTGCAACAAATCTTTGCCTCAGAGATTGCGTCTAGTGAGTTGCACACTGGTGGGCAGCCTACAAGCATGCCCCTGCAGGTCAGTCGATCAGTTCCTCGATTCAGCTGTCAGACAGCACCTGCGCCCTGTAGAACTGCCGCATGAGGCCTCGTAGATTTTGGCAGCATCCAGGATCTCGTCCAGGCTCTGCGCTGCGCCTGGCCGGGTTCCGGTTGATGCTGTGACCACTTGCCGAAATCACGCGGACGTCGGTGGCAACTTGATCTGACTTGCTGATCTTGGTTTCTCCCCTCCCTTGTCGCTATCTTACACCTCACTGGTGTCATCCTACCTCTGTACGTCGTGTTCGCCTCACACCTGATCATTCATGGTATGGAGCGCTGCTCCACCAGTGCCTGGAGCAGCGGCCCCATCACCGTAGGAGTCGACCACATCGCCCAACATCTGCGGGCAGTGCTTCTTGCAGACCTTTGGAATGGCACGAGTGAACCAGGACGGTCTGTACCACCATGCCGGTGGCTTGATGAGATAATCAGATCTGTGTCGCATTGCTGAGAACATCACCCTCACGGCTTCGTTCACCATGCGCTTGGAGGAATATGCCTTCCGAATTCCGCAATGAACGGGTGTCTCCGTTCGCGGGATCAGACGCCGCGTGCCTTCACTGCCAACTCTGGCTTGCCGGCCTGCACGAAGAGGTTCTCGGCGGCCTGCTCACCAAAGCAAGAGTGCTTAAGGAGCTCTCACATGGGTTGCCTTACGCAGCCCTCCTGCATGTTGTTCTGGTCGACAAGATCCTTGGCATGGTGGACCATGACGTCCTTCACGCTCTCGCGTTCGTATGCCTGGCACAGCCGAAGCAAAACCGGAGATTCTCTGCACAAGACACCGGGTCCACCTCTGCTACACGCATGGCTGAAACCCAGTCGCGGCCATGCACGTACCTGGCCGGCTTGCACGTGTAGATCTTCAACAAGATTGTGGTAGGAATTGTCGGCTCAGCCAACACCTCACAGAAATCTGCCGAGGCACATGTCGATGGCTTCCTTGGGCTTATTCGCCTTGATGAACTCCTCCTCTGCCAGCTTGAACCTCGAATAGCACATGGTGAATTTTCATTGAAGTGAGGGTTGCCGCGATATCCGAGACAGTGGCTGTTCATCATCCTCTAAAGCCAATGCCTCGAGCAAACAAGTCTTCCTGCGGGAGAGCCGTACTCAAACCAGCTTCCACCTTCTTGAGGTGAATGTCCGGAAGCTTGTGCTTCGCAGAGTGATTCGCCAGCTCGAAAGCGTGCTGGAAGTTACTATGCTCCACTGCATAGTCGATGGCCTCTGCTCCATCTTTCCCATTGCTTAAAGATCTGTGCCAGCGTGTGTAAGCCGAGGATTCCACGATCTCGATGAGGCCGTGCTTGGCAAGCAGCTGTGCGCCGGCCTAAGGGGCACCACACAACAAAGGCCACTCTTCAGCAACTCTTTCCAGCCTCGGCTCCATGTTCCTTGAAGGTCGCCTCCCCCACGCGCACAGGAGTCGGATTTTAGGGTTTTAGGTTTAGGGTGTATTTCCCCTCTCCCTTCCCATGCAACAAAGCCGGAGCGGCGTGAGCTTGAGCCAGGACCACCTTTTCGAAAGACTGCTTGCCGCCGTTAGCCTCGCACGGAAACCGAGCACCGGCGGACATGGACCCAGCTCTTAGACTCCTGGAAACTGGCCTTGGCCACCCGCTTCGCATCTTCCCACTTCTCGAGCTGGCGGTACATGGACATGGCACTGGTCCACATCTTGGCCTCGAAGGTTCTGGATAAAAGCTAGCACCGTTCTTTGACCCCAGATGGTGTGCTCGACGGCATCACAGCATGTCTGTGAGGGCACCATCCATGTCGAAGGTAGGCTAGAAAGACCCAGCATCGGGCCTCAACATAGTAGTGTTCGGCTTTCTTGAGGTTGCCCTTCATCTCGTACTGCTCTGCAATGTGCTTGTAGGTATCATTCAAGAGCTCCTCGAACAGGTTCACTGCCAAATCAAGCCAATCTCCTTTATTCTGAGCAGCGGCAGGTCCTTGCGGTACTTGGACACCAGGCGTAACATTTGCTCGTACTCCTCACGCTTCTTGTACCTCAGCTGCGACAAGCCCTGCCTCAAAGGCCTGCAGAGATGAGGCTTTGAGCAGGTCGCATGTTGATGGCCAGATCAAACTCGTTGACGGCCAAGTACATCTGTTCAGCCTGTACCGGGCGACACGGCTCATCCTTGGCCCCATTCTGAGGAGGGCTAAGAGATCAGGGGACTTTGGAAGAGGGAGCCGGCCTCTTGCAGTTTCACCGACTGCTCCAGCCCCTGGCACTGTTGGCATTTTATGACAACTTCCACGTCAGCCTCAGAGATATCTCCTTGCCTGCGCCAGGGCAATGTAGAGCTCTGTCCTCTCTGCAGGGGAGAGGTGTGCTTTGGCAACACGGTGAGCTTTCTCGTACCTGCACGCACGGCACGGCACGAGGCCGAGAAAAAAGGAACTAAAGTTGCTGAACATCTCGAATGGCCCGCGACAGCCCGCGCGCACTGCGCGTGCTCAACATACATCTGCACCTCGTGGCCAGACATGATGTTCACTCACTCGCACCATGGTAGGAACAAGAAGAGGAGAGGCTGAGGGTGTCGCAGCCCGCTGCGGTCGGCCAGACTTGATGAAGGCACGTTCTGCTTGGTCGAACCTTGGAAGATCTGAAAATCCACAGAACTCCCTGTTGTCCTCCGGCCGTGTAACACCGCACAGAACACGTCTTTGCTCGAGCTGGCAAGGCTTTTGCGCTGGGACGCGCGACAACAGCTTTCCTGACAGCTTCTGGATACTGCGCCCTCGCGCCACCAATCCGGAAGCTGCCGTAGAACAAGGGAGCTCTTTAAACGAAGCCGAATCACCTGCTCGATCAAGCTACGAGCAGATGACCCGAAGACAAGAAGCCTCAGACTTCAACGTGGACGCTCTGCTCCACAGCATCCAGGGCTGCAGCATATTTCGACGGCACGCAGCCGTTGGCACATTCAAGTGTCCCTCGGCACTTGCTGTGGAGGGCACACTCGGCGGCCTCCTTCGTGCAGTGCAGCGCTATACAGGTTTTTGATGGTGGGAAGCCAGGGCAGCGGTCCCTCAGGCACTCCATCAAAGCGGCGAAGTGCAGACCATCCTCCGTCTTGGCAAGACCCTCCGTGCAACGAGCCTCGCACATGATGCCGCTGCGGCACGTCGAGGAGAAGAGGCACTTTGCCAAGGTCGAGGTGCAGTTGCCCAAGACGCAAAGAGCTTTCGGGGCCAAGGTGGACGGGTCCACTGGACAGCCAGAGATGCATTGAAGTGTGTCGTCCAGAGTGCTGTTGAGTAGCCCCCCTGCTTTCCGCAGCATCGTCTGGTCATGGTCTTGGGCACACACCACTGCCAGCGACAGCACGAAGATTCTGGCAACGCCTGCCATGACCTTGCTAAGTAGAGGGATAGCCTGTGAGTGCAGCTTGAGCAGAGACGACCTGTGGCAGCCAGTTACCTGGACGTGTGGTGTCGTGACTGACATGCTGCAGCTCGCGAATCATCATAGAGGCTGCTATCCAGAAATCTGCGCATGCGACTGGGCATCCGGCTGGCGAGAGTGCGCATAGTGCATGGCAAGCTTTTCGTAGAAAGGCAGCGCAAAGCTTTGATCTGCGCCCATTGATGCCTGTTCGGCATGTACATGCTGGATCCACAGTCCATCGCCCCCAGAAAGATCAGAAAGCTTTCGTCACAGAAAGGAGAGTCACACCTGATCCAGCAGTGTCTCTGCTTTGTGCCACTGCCGCGCAGTCCTTGGCTCAGCAGTTTACCCACAGCGGCGCAGCAACCTGTCCCGCCCCTGCTACTGACCTGTTACGTTGTGCACTCATTACTCCAGGTGGTGAGCATTCGGATGATCAAATCGATTGCTTTCACATCTCTGGTCCTCTGCTCTTTCTCCTGCTGCTTTTGCAGCCATCCTACAGAGCCTGCACTTGCACCCCTGCTGTCACTCCGTTTCCTCTTCGTTGTCAGCTTCTTGCTTCGCGTCGTGCTCTTGTCTTGCCCGGCATCGTCATCACTCCCACGAGTAGGACCCAGCGTTCCCACTGGACATCTTCTATCCTCGCAACTAGCGCTGTCATCTCTCTCTCTCTCTCTCTCTCTCTCTCGTTCTCTTTTCTGTTGGGGGCATCCGGCACCGAGTGCCCAGCATGGCGGCATCGATTGCCTTCTGGGCTGAGCCTGCCTGGCTGCACTGTGAGATCTACTGCTTTCGGTCTTGTTGTCTATGGTCTTTTTTGACCGCAGAGATTTCGAACCAGGCCTCGATGTAGTGATTGATTGCGGCATCTACCTGTGAGCAGGGTCGACTGCTCGCAATTTCGACAGCTAGTGATGAGCGATGCCTGCCGCTGCGAGACCAACCAATCACCCCACTCCTCCTCCAGAGCCACCTGAGTATGGAAGGCAGCCGCAAGCCCAGTGACGAACCAGTGCTTCTGCGTGCAATCTTTGATTGTAATCCGGCCTTCTGGAAGTGTATCGACCGGGGAGTATAGAGGTCTCTTCTAGTCTCCACCGTCGCGGCCGCAAGCGACAACGAGAAGATGAGCGTCTGGCCACCAGGCCAGGCTGGGAGTGCTTCGCCAGCTCAATGGCCTGACTTTCACGCTATCGGCGATCGTACCGACGATGCGTACACTAGAGCAAAAGCGCCTGTCGGTAGGCGTGCCCCCGACGGTACGCGTCCATGGCCGGCTGAATCAGGCCCATTCGCTCGTAGAGGGCACCAGCACGGTCATGCATTCCGCTTGCCTTGTACGGAATTGCTCCATGGATTCACATGTCGAGACGGCCTGTCTAGAGAGTCTAGCCCTAAAATCATCTGACACTTGCTTATGAAGGTTCAGATAGCGAAGCGGTGTGCCTGAAGCCCGGCAACGATCTTCTGCAACAGCTCCTGCCACAGCAGCCCACCACATGCGACCACTGGTGGTACACATGTGCGGTATACCGTCAGCGAAAGCAACATAGGAGTCAGCTCTCTGTGGTTCTGGCAAGACGAGCCGATCCTGGGAGTAGTTCGCATTGTGTCGCTGGACCACCGCTGCGGCCTGTGCACCAGGACTTCGTTTGCAAAGGAAATGATATCATCGTGTGCATCATGCAATCGCCATGTTCGGCCGCGGCCTTTGCAGCCATACCCCCGCGCAGGTACAGTTCGATAGCCCTGGCATCTTGGAAACAGTGCAAGCTATGTGGGTGGACGCCGTGCAGTAGCCCTTTTCAGATGAACGGGCAGCGCAATGCCTCTTTTCCTGGCTTGTAGATTGCATGTCTCCACGGCCCGCTCCGATAGAACTTGAGGGTGAAACCGAACATAGGTAAAGCTGTTGATGTTCTCCGCTTCACGACAGCATGGACCCTGCTAGGTGCTCCGCTGCACCTCACTCCTTCAAAGCGGGGGCCTGAGATCAACAGAAGTGCAGCTGGAAACTCCCCGGACACAGAGAAGATCACAGGCCAAGAATGCCTACGGCATGCGGGCCGAGCGCAATCAGCAACATCGCTTGATCCGAAGATGCACTCTAGCTTCGAAGTTGTTCGTCACGCCGAGTCAGGCCTTCTTCGGCACTGCAAAGCCGCGCTCGCCGTAGTTGGCAAAGATGCTTGGCGTGCGCCACAGGTCTCGGCTCCTCGTCGGGATCAAAACCTCCAGCTACCTCTCCATGCGCTCTCGCGTGGAAAAGCTGAAGCATCGTTGATCGGGCATTGGTGCTCCTCTGCCGTAGCTTCGGCTGCATGAGAGTCTCTGTGAATTCCCACGGGCGGGGTTCTCCCGTCCGCCCTCGCACCTCAAGTTGCAGAACGAACCGCATTAGAGCTTCAGGCGTCTGTTCAGGCCGCCACTCCAGTAGGCAATTTAGTATAGATTGCCAGCCTGGGCAGCAACTGGGCATTTCCGGAGGCTGGGGCAGCGATCGTGGCTGAGATTCAAGCATAGTGTTGCCATACTCCCGATTCCTGAATCCAAAGGCACTCCATCTGTCAGTCCCATGCTTCTGCCCTCTCCTGCCTGAGTCCGTGCAGGACAGGTACCCCCGCGGCCACGTCGTCGAAGTCATCTTCGTCGTCGAAGGGAGCACAGAGCACCGGAGGCAGGGCACCTACAACACTCTTTTACGCATGCGACAGCGGTCCGAAAACACAGCCTGAGACCTCTGATTTGGAGCGCCTAGCTCTCGAGGGTACTCGATGCAAACAAGCCCGTCTCGCTCGATGAGCTCCGACTTTGCCAGGGCCTTTGAAGCAGCACAGACAGGTGAAATACCCAGAAATACTAGGCCTGGGCCCGTGGCAGTGCAGAGCTGGCGGAAGGAGATCTCGTCGGGGTTCGGCGACACCGTCTGCCAAATCAGGAAAAGAGTTTTGATAGTGATTGGCCCTAGCTTTCCTCCACACTCTTTGGCTTCTGGAGCCTTCTCTGATACCTGGCTCCTTTCCGGGCTTCGGCTTGATTCGTCCGTTGTTAGAACCCAAGCCAGAGTCCCCGACAGCCGAAAGCTCGCATGAGCTCAGCAATCGCCAGAGGGAACTACAAGCATGGTATTGAATGGGTTTGAGTTTGAAGCATCCTTCGTGAGTTCCGTTTTGCCTCCATGGTCCCCGACCAAACCCGAAAGACTGCCGGCTCGCTCCTGCCCTCATGCTTCCCTCATTAGAATCACTGGTGTGTCCAAATCCCTCTTTGGTCTCACTTCCGAAATTTTGCTCCGCCCCTCGATCCGGATTCCTAGCAGCCATTTCAAACCGCAGCTGGGGCACCACCAGATTGAAGCTGCGGTTTACCAGGCCATACTTCTCGGGATCCTGGTGGCCAGACTGGCAAAAAAATCAACGAAGCTCCATCACATCGGGATCGGGCCTCGAGAAAGTCCAGGACTTCCGCCTGCAAATTCCCGGACGTTTCTGAACGTCTCCGAGGTGCCGACAGTCATTATGCGGCTTGCACGCTTGGTGTTGTGATGCTGTTGATGTGACAGCTGTTGGAAATGGATGGAGAAATACCAAAGCAATACGAATGTAATCGAAAGGGGAGCCTGATAAGGTGGGCAAAAGGTGATGCAGGAGGTGACACACCTGCTTCCACCTCTTTGCGAAACATCTTTCTCACCCTTTATTTGGTTGTTGTTGCCGTCTTGTCTATGCGTGTTACACCCCTAGGTCCCGTTCTGGTGTTTCTATACTCATTCAACATACTAAGATCTGCCGAATGATGTCTATAACATTCCTACAAGGAGAAAAATTGAACAAAAAATGTAACGTCAACTGCGATCCAGCTCACCAAGCTATCCGGAAAATCATCTACCCAACCATTGCTACCTTGCCTATCTGAACGTCGATCTACCTCATGTTTTATGTCCTGCCTGGCCTTTTCTGTCACATCCTGTCATTCCTCGGTCCACTCACTGACTGCTGATTACGCAAGTCGATTATTGGCAGGTAAATGGAACGAGAATGCAACATACCGATCACATATGGCCCTCAATATGCGCCCAACCTGTTCACAAGATCAGCTTTGGAGTAATGGATGCTACAGTCAACCGTAATCGGCGCTTACCGACTTACTCAATCGGCCGACTCATCCATGGACCCAAGACCAAAGTTATCTTTCTCCCGTGACTGTCACAGTCCATTTGAGGTTCCGTCAGTTTCACTGCTTTCCCCCAAAAGTTGCAAGTGACAAGGGGAGTCTAAGCCAGCAATGAGTCACAAGAGTGATGCTTGTCTGGAGCCGCTTTGCATCATGCAGTATTGACGAACGTCTCCGTGTATTGTGTGCGTGCATGCTGTATGTATCCCATCGCCTGGATGGCGCCTACCGGCTGCCGTGCCACCTGCGCGCGGTGGAGCTCGATTTGGACCTGGGCCCGTGGACCTGGCAGGGCTTAGGGATGACTGTCGGGAGCTCGAGTGGGCTTCAAGAGGGCTTTAATGGGCGACTTGTTCTTCCGCTCGTGCTGAAAGCATGCTGAGAGTATGCTGCCATGGTAAGACATGCTGTTGGCCTGGGCTTCGGTGTTCTTGGCCGGTGCTTTGGAAAGCCCTTGTCTGTGATCTTCTTTCGGTCAGAACGCTGAAGACAGGGACCCCCTTCGAGCAGGACGGGCCGGCTCTAAAGCCTGAACATGCCTGAATCCTTTATAATGTAAGTCTAGAAGGATTACTTTGAGCGTTACTTTTTGCACAATCACACTGCGTGCCTCCAACCATGCTGAGTGGGCCAATCTCAGCCTGCTGCAACTCATGCTGTAATGATGATTGACATGCTTTGTAGTTTGCCACCAATCTCTCGATCAATCCATCCATGCATCCATGTCTATTAGTGCTTTTGTTACGTAACTTTTCCAACGCATGCGCGCTCGTCACATACAATTCGTCACATACAGACACTAGTATTGCGGTTTACTACCCTTGAATATTCATGAGATCAGAGAACACAACAACATGCGCATTGATGTTTACGAGCATCACACAGAAGGTGTACCTACCCTCTCCGTCTCCCATAGCTATGCATTTTCACCAAGCGCTACGGCTTCTCGTGCCTCGACGCGCTCGTTCATCGGCCCCTTGGAAGCTTCCTCGTGCTCCATGTAGCCACACAGCCACGCGTTTGCAATGGCGCAGTCCACACCTCGGATGCTCCGAACTCTGGGCCGTGCCTCGAGGAATCGAGGAGGACTAGGCGGAGCACAGTCTTTCGACGAGTCGACCTTCCCAGGGGCATAAGACCGCTGCGTTGTCTTCAGCACCCACTCCAAGCCCGTGCACAAGCTGAGGCTTAGGATGGAGCAAAGATGCACTCGGCTGCTCCTCGGCTGAGAGCCTCGATCCCCACCGAGCCCGTGCCTGAGCGTGCATGCTGCATGACTGTGATCTTTGCAGCGAAGCCTGTCGAACGAGAGGGGGGATGGCCTGTGCAGAGGTCGAGGTGGCGCACGGAACGATCCTCAAAGAGATGCATGGCGGTGACCTTGGATCCGAAGCAGTCTGGTCGTCTTGCCATGTCCCGCCATGTTCGCCCAAACATGGCCCTGACCTGGTTGAAGAGAGCCTCGCGCACTCGCTCCATCGTCGGCCTCACAATGACCTCCGAGGGAAGATCTCTCGTTCCAGGTTGATCCGTCCGTTTCGAAGAGGGTTCAGAGCTCGGTCCGTGGCACCAGCTGGTTGCTCCAGCCGCCGGCGCTTCGCCTGCAAGACGTACACGAAGGCGCAAGCTGATGGATGGATGGAGACCAGGCAATGGGGTCCCTGCCGTCCCGGTGCTGACACGCAGTCGGGAAGGAAAGTCCCAGTTCTTGTGGGCCAGCGGAGGGCCCTGCTTCAATCGCCACTCCACCTTACAGCACCGTGATCCCTAGGATCAGACCTGTTCTACAGCTCACCACCAGCAGACTACAGCAGTGCACAACTCGTCGCCGGCCTTTTGCTTGGAGCGTTTGGAGCGGCCCCAGGCGTGGCCCGGACCTGGCGACATCGAACGGAGACCAGTTCCCTGCGAATGAGGCCAGGCGCCTCCACTTACACTTTTCGTGGGCCTCGTCCTGCAGACTTCAGGCGTCGTGTGCAGTTCATCTAAATGCTGATGATCTGCAACGCCTTACCTGCTTATGCTTAGCCAGTGGTTGGGGACATCGACGTTGACCAGCTCGTTGGATCCAGGTGCCAGCGTGTCCAGCCTGAGACGCATGAGACAGGCATGGAAACAGAGCACTGCAACGAACCCTGAGCCGCTTGCTCCGAAGATGCAGGGTCCGACAGCGTGGACCTTCTACTGTTGACATGCAGCGTTGTGCGAGTTGTGCGATCATGCCGGCCCCCGACCATCGGGTCAGAACGCTGAGCGCCACGCGTCCCTGGATCTCGCGAACTGCTGCTCCGACTCCCACCGCCACCTGCCGGGGCCGCCGTCGCGGTCGCGGTCGCGAACCCCCGCGAAGCCGAAGTCCAAGCCCGGAGCCGCTAAGCTCGGGCTCGGGAGCTTCCCGAAAGTCCTCCTCCTCGGCCTGCGTGCAGCCCGAAAAATTTCCCGTTCCGGTCTCATCCGGCTCCACTCCGCCTCTGCTCGGCACGCCACCCGACCAAAGCCTCTCCGGAGCGGCGAGGCCCGGGCCAGGGCCAGGGCCCGCCTGCGGTGCAGAAGTGAATTTGTCCCGACTTCGAAGCTCGCACCTCCACTGTTCCCAACTTCGCCTGCTCAAGGCCAGCCCAAGCCCAAGGCCCAGCCCGGTCACGGCCTCAGACAGGCTCACTGACACACTCCACGCCCTCCCGAAAGCGTCCGACAGGCTCCGCACCGTGGGCAGCGCCTTCCCACGATCCGACACGTAGCTGACGCCTATAAGTCAGATGTATCAAAGGCTTTTCGGGGTGGAGATACGGTGCCCCTCATCGAGCCATCCCAGGCCTGCAGAGGCAACGCCATGCTGCGATGCAGTCGGCAGAGGCCGCAGGATGGCGGGCTGCTGAGAATACAAAGCCATACTTCCAGCCAAAGTGCAGGCTGCGGAGACCCTCAAGACTTCATCCTATCGGCGGTGATGGCTGTCTGCCATTGCCACTTATATCAACCTATGTGGGGGCCGGAGCCTGACGTAGTCGCCATCAATCTCCTGAAGCTCGCCTGCCTTCTCCTGAAGTAACCCAAGAGAAGCAGAGGTCATGCAGTATAGAATCCACAGACACCCCACGCGCTGTTGCGCTTGGTCCTCTTGCTGTGTGGAAAGCAACCATTGCAGGTAGTAGTTCTTCAGGTGCATGAGCTGACAAGACGCAAGACGAAACGGCGACTGCTTTACATCACTGGCCTGATGCAAGCAAAGCCTGCCTTGGGATGGTTCTTTCGCTCTGCAAGTTGTATGGATTCGTTGTACTTGTGCAGCTCCTCCCAGCAAAGAGATCAATGCTGAGCACCAGTTCGCGTACTCTCAGTACGTGCCTGATACATGGCCAGTGCTTCATCGAGTTCGTTGTGATCCAGCAAAATAGCTTCAGCGCGTTGAAACTGCTTTGCCAGCATGGCCATCTTCGCCTGGTGCAGCAGAGGCGCTTCTTCACCTCCAGCAAGCCAAGAGGAGTGCCTGGGCCATGTAGTAGTTGGAGCCATCACCACCAACCTCTGCAGCATGATCTTGAATCAGCCGGTTGACCTCACGAGTGACATTCAGTCAGAGTCAACCATGTGTGTGTGTGTGTGTGTGTGTGTGTCGTGGTGGCCCGCCTTGTGCAGGTATCGGCTCTTTGCTACATCGCCCAAAACGGCATAGCAGCGTTCGGCTACCGGCAAGTTGAAGTGCTCCTCTGCAGAAACGGGAGAGCTTTATCCGCCTTGCACATGCTGATTTCATCTTCCCGTCCATAGAGGCATCAGCCAGTGAGCGCCACATGGCTTCGGTCTCTGGTGTCAACGGGAGCTCCTGGCACCGGTGGACAGGAAGCCCGTCGTAACCCTCAGCACAGTGGCCGAGACGGGGCGCGATCTGGCCTCCAAGAGGTCCACCGCCTTTTGCTGCAGCTTCGAAAGAAATATGCAAAATGCAAAATACTCAGCAAGGGATCAACTGCCCGCTGCCTGCCTTAGCGTATTGACCCCTTTCCAAGCAGGAGCCGAAGGAGATCAAGCCCTCGTCCAGCTCGTACTCCACCTGCGACGACAATTAGCACAACACCAATACCGAGGGAGACCTTTGCCATGACTCTTCAGGGACTTATGTGAACTCGTGTCTGAAGCACCATGTTGACGCCCTCATCCACGATCACGCAGGTTCGGCCGTTGGATCGCTCGATGTCTTCGATGTCGCCCTTGATCTCGTGCAGCGTTACGCGGTCGGGCGCATTGATGGAGTACCAGACACAGAGCTGTCCTTCAAGCATTCAGGGTCCCAAAATCTCTCTCGTATCCGGGACCCAAGAATCCGCGCTCGACGAAGCCCGCGGCCTCTGTTTTGAGCCACGACGACGTCGCTGTCGGGAACCCACTGCACATAGTTGCAGTAGTTCAGGAGGGTCACCTCACAGCGCTTGACACCAAGGACTCATGGAGGCCCTCAGCGACGAGACCATCATGGCAACTCGAGGACTGGACCCGGCTCTGCTGCTCAATGTCAAAGAGGTAGAGCTGCCTCCGCTTGTCCCGGAAGATGAGACCTTGGGGTCAACGGCTCAACGCACTTACGACTGACCGCTGCCAGGCTCTGCTCTGCTCGGGCGCAGACGATTTGCCCCATTCGGGTTCAGTTCCTTGCGCGGGGTGTCGCTGATGACTCAAGCTCTTTCTTTTCATCTTGGCAGAAAGCGTCAGATCGTGTGTGTCGCCCTGGCGGAAGGCTGATTCGACTGCTTGGTTTGGTATGGCGCTACGCGCTGCTAGGGGAAGCAGAAGGAAAGGGGTGTAAAATATCCTGCTTGACACGTGTGTAGCACAGGGAAGAGCATAAAAGCCCGTCTAAACACCTGTATTTTTATGGGGTAGAGCCTGATTCGGCTGCAGCCGTATCTACAGTCACACAGCAGCCTTCAAACAACTCTCGACTGCAGAATCGGACCCTGGCCCTAGCACTCATTCATGTTTTTCTACCGTCACTCAGTGGTGATGCCGTGGGCTGGAGCACTAGTCACATCTAGCCGAGCAGACCGAGCAGTCAAGCTCACATCCCAGAGAGGCATAAGGCGCCGGCTAGCCAGTCAATCCTCGTGTCGTGATGGATGTTTGCCAACGTTGCATTCGAAACCTGACAATTTGGAAATGTGTCAAGCGACTCACATAACCTTGTAACCGGATGATGAAGCACAGGGCAATGCCTGCTCTGTGAGTGCTTGAACATGCCGGGAGGGCCAGATCACAAACACGGATGGTCATCAGGTCCAGCAAATATGCGATGACCTGCCCCAAGAAGCGAAGTGTACTGCAGGGACTCAATCACTTAGTCTACACCTCTGACCTTTCCTCCGGCTCCTCTTGCTGCTTTTCCTGCCCTGCTCCTCCTCAGTCTTTGCCCGCATCTTCGCTTCCTCCTCCTGCCCTGCCCCCTCCTGCTGCTGCTGCTGCTGTCCGAGGACGACGACGACGACGACGACTAAGACGATAACACCCGTTTCACACCGCCTCCACCATCATCACCATAACCACCATTTCCACCACCACCATCACCACCATGACGACGACGTCGACGACGAGGACGATGCCAACCGACGACGAGCAGCACTACTTCTGTCATGCATGTGAAATCGACCTTATGACCATAACAACCAAGTGGCTGCTTCCTGCAACTGAAAGTCTTCACGGCAAATCCCGAGATAATGACTCAAACAATCGAACCTAGAACGCAAAAAACCCTTCACTCACAACTGTGTCATCTGGGAAGTTCAACTCACTCAACTTGGCAAGCTTGCATGAACAAATCTTTCAGAACGTTGATCCTTCCGATGTTGCCAACGTCCTGAATCTGTTTGGCCTTTCTCACAACCACTTCCGTCACCACCGTCATTAAACGTGCAGTCACAAACACAAAGTGGGCCAGACAACAAACGAATTGGTCAGCACGCAGCAGCTTCAGAACGGTAAACAGCCTCCCTGGTAGTACAACAGAAGAGAAAGAATGGAATACGAAAACTCATGAAGTTAAGGTTGTCTTCTAAAGTAACATGCGGGTAGTGGAAAACATTGCTCAGTGCCGGCAGCATTGGTGTAAATGGTACTGTGGAAATTACGAATACTGTTCGGGTTGATATGTATACTGGCGTGGCAACGAATACTGCCCGGATCTCAGGGCATGAGCACCAAAGCCTGCAGGGCACAGGCATGCAGATGTCCAACAAGTGATTCTAAGACCATATAAAACTTCCGACATTAAAACTCCCTGAAACCCTAAAAGAACACACGAAATAACACATACAACAAATCAGGAACCTTGTGCCCTAAACCCTAAACCTCCAAACCCCCAAACCCGCAAACCCTAACTCTTCAGCCTGGCATGCGAAAAACACTCCGGCCAAGAACCCGACGAACAACAACCTAGAGCCTCGGCCCCTCCTTCGTCCCTCTAAGTCTCAAATCGTGAGGCCTGAAACTGCAAAAAAAAAACAAGCTCCAAAACCGCGAAAAACCTGAACCCCTTTGTTGGCCACCGGTATTCACATGCACTGCGACAACGAATGGATTGCACTGCGACAACGAATGGATTCAGTGGGAACACTGGAGGTCCATACCTCTTGGGGCGAAGCGGACGTGACACGGCCCTTGGGCCGTGGCGTGCAGAGAGAGGTCGACGATTACGATGATGGTGATGCTGACAACTGCAACGGCGATGACGATGACGATATGCGTTCAATGGCGATCACGACTCTGTGATGCGATGAAGACGAAGATGATAACACTGATGACGCTGGTCATGGTGATGCAGATGACACTGGTGACCTGATTGGCGATATCGAACTTGAAAAAAAACAGTGATGATACCGAGCCATGATAATGCTTGTCTAGTATCGGTTTCACGTTTGCAGTCAATCTGCCGTCCTGCGCTTGAAAAAACTGGTTAGTACCCCATGACGGTTGTCAAGCCTTCAGCTCCCCCATCGCCGGAGCATAGGCATCACTCTCTTCCGGGGCGTTGATCCGAACGCCTGATGCCGCTTTGATATTCAGGCACTTGGAGCACAGCCGTGTTCACCCACTGTTACGGCCGTCCCAATCGACGGAAGAGTTTGCCGACTGGAGCTACAAGTCGCGGAGCTTGGCGAGCTGGACAAGGAATACTAGTCCCTATGACATCCTGCACAACATGTCGCACTACAGTGTCGTGCACATGGTCGGGTAATGTACATCAAGTAACATGCAAACATACATGTGGATATACATTCATATCCACATGTATGGAGCATTGTTAAAATGATCATGATTTTGACTATTATTGTTTTCCTTTAGTATTATTCTGAGAAGCAATACTATTATTAGTAGTCGTCGTAATGGTAGTATTGGTATTCTTATGTTGCTTTAGTTATTCCCGTGATTGTGCGTGATATTCTTATCTCTAATTATTACAATGATTCCTGTTGATATTCTTTTTTACAACTGTTATTCATTTGTTGTTCTTACTATTGCTGTTATTCTATCATACTTTTATTGCCGATTACTACTATTATTGCAATTTTTACGATTACTACTACTTTTACGATCATCACTAAAGTGGCAACGATTACAACAATTACTATCGCGAATTTTTTGCCTTTATTACCATCATTACGCTACTTTTATTGCTACTAGCATTGCTGTGATTACTATTGCTACTACTATAACCATTATTACAAGTATGACAACTTTTACTACTATGAGTATTATTACTCTTACTACTATGATTACTCGTATTTCTATTGGTACTCTTACTACGAATATTATGAATATTGCTACTAATTCTATTGTTGCTATTATCACTAGTTTAATTTATGAAAACTACTATTACTATTATTGCTATTGTTACTAGTGTTACTACTATTATTTTGTATATCTTTGCTATCTTCTCTATTACTACCACTATTACTGTTATTACTATTAAGTATTATTGCGTTTGCTCCATTATTTCTATCATTACTGTCATTACTAGTGTTCTTACTGCTACTATGATTGTTGTTATTAATATACAAGGATCTCTATATGAAACTGTATCTCTATGTATGTACATACATCTGCATGCATACGTAGACAGATGCATCAAGCTACACATTTATAAATGTGTATATAGGTCTTCCGCGGCTAAGGGCCGGGCTGATGAGGTGCGGAGACATGAACTCTGTCCGGGCCTTGGGGCGAGACAATGCAGTTCCCCCACTTCGCCATTTCCTCACAAAGAGGTCCCGACACAGGCCAGCAACTCGTTGCAGCCATATTCAACGACAGATAGCTCACCGGCCTTCCGCAGAGCTCATCTCAGGCACTCCGATACTTGGCCCTTCCATGCTTATGTCAGGCAGCATCTGCCTTGAAAATCATGCAGACGGTCGGGTTGTCAAAAACGAATTTCTCATTGCCTCACGAAAGCAATCTCAGGCAGAACCTCAAGACCTCGAGAACTGAGCCGCAAGCCGCTAGAGTGCCAGGGAATCTCGGACAACCTGCCTGAGACTGAGAGGAATGGCGGCAGGCTCGTCAAGGAGGCCGAAGGCAAACCCAAGGGCCGGACAGGTCTGCAGGTCTCCGAGCAAGATGCTCTCCGGCGTGTGAGCCACCAGGAAGCGCTCCTGAGTCCGACATCCAGTCAGCCCGAAAGTTCAAAAACGGCTCTTCGACGAGCTCTGGCTCTGGCCTGGAAAATGTTGATCTTCTTAATCTCGAAACCGACGTTGCTCTTGAGCACGATGCGAGCACCGGAGCGCAGGCTCTTGACGATGACCTGACTCAGGGAGACGTAGGTGAACTCGTGCGAGTCGCGATAACCTGAGCATGGTGCGCAGGGAATTCCATGCAAGCCTTACCATCCACTTTCTCTCGTGGCTTGCTTTGAGTTTCGGACGGGATCGCCGAATACACACGTCGAACATGTCCACGCCACCACAAAGAGCGCCAACGATGAGCCTAGACCCGTCTGCCCGCCATGAAAGAGCAGTGACCGAGTAGAGGTTCGGCACCTGCAGGCGATAGGGACGGAGAAGCTGCTGCCGGCGACAAGCTGCCTGCGGCCTCTCGCTGTACAACTTCCGCCCATTCGCTCCTCTTCGGATGCCAGGCAAAGACCTATCACAGAATGGAGATGAGCCCTTCTGAGAAAGAAGTTGAAGTTGAAGTCTGAGAGCTCGGCTAGAAAGCGGTTGTAGTTTCCCAGCACCACGGACTCGCCGGATGGATTGAAGGCTGCGACCGTAAACTCCTGGGCAACGGGAATCCTGTGTCCGAGGCCCCCGAAAAAAATGGCGGCGACGGATCCTTGATCTTCGGGTCGCCGCTGTAGTCGAAGGTCTGCCCTTCCCGGCCCTGCAGGCGCCGCTTAAGCGCCCGCTTCGCCCGCTTCGGCTTCGGCTTCTGCCTTGTTGCGGGCAGCCGGCCTCCGAGTCCCAGAAGCGCACCATGCGGTCGTTACCCGCGGCGCAGATGCCGGCGTAGCCCCAGGACAAGGCGTAGGGCACACACTGGCGGCGGGCGAAGAGTCGGTACTTTGGGGAACCTGGGAGGACCTTCGGGGATAGCTTATGCCGCTAGGCTGGCACAGGCTGGCACAGGCTGGCCGCAGGCCCCACTACGAATTTGCTGGCAAAGATGCTCAAGCCCCAAGCCTGAGGCACCATGGCAAACTTCGTGGTGGTCGGCCGAGGAACCTTGGGATCGATTCGGATGGAAAGTGCGGGAGGCCCCAAACGTGCAGGGCCGTGCAAAGGGACTTGGTTGGCGACCGTCTCCGTCTCGAAGTGGAAACGGTAGATGGAACCATCCAGGTGACCACTGAGAATGGAGTTTCCATCCGGACCTCGGCAGGGCCAAGGCAGCATCGGGCGAGCCTTTGCATCTTCCACCTCACCACTGGATTCAGAGTAAGGCAGACACCGGCACACATCGAGACTACGAAAGAATCGGTCGAGTAGAGAGTAGCAGCCTGTGGTGTTGGCGACCAGATCCCCCAAAACGAGCAATGCTATACTCTCGGCCTTATTCGACTTCAGCTGGCCGACTTTCACCTTGCCTTCGGCAAGACCGAACACAACCTGCAGCAGATGTTTCGACTCGCAGCCGCTTCCCTTTCGTCCCATCAGCCTCGTTTGGATGTCCAGCAGGCCAGGTGAGGCACGTGACACTCGAGGACTGCTGGAATTTGTTGCAGATGGACTTCTTGTCCTGCGAGAACCAACGTGCGATGCTAGGGAAAATCCCTTATCATGCTGCAATGCGCTACGGCGTGCTCTTGGCAAACAGACATGCAAAGGCGGAAAAAGTCAGCGGTAGCAATTCCGGCCTTCCAGTCGCTTCCAAGCTTGTACACGAACCTCAGCACAACACTGGCTGTATGCGAAAGCAGTACATGCATCGCAGGATCCATCGTGCACGTGACCTGTGCGAGCCGAAGGAAGGCAAGTGGCAATGACTGGCAATGACAGCAGCTCACAGGCTAAGCTAAAGAAGCCGGATCACAACTCCGGGTGGCATCCCTTGGTGTGAGGAGCCTTAACCTAGTGTCCCTGCCGGCATGATGGAGCCTCTTGAACGGCAGCTATCCCAAGCACTGGATTCTCAGTTCGGGGCACGATGTTGTCACTCTGTGCCACGGCCAGCTTAGTGCCGTCTGGGGAGAATTCGATGGTCCGCACCGCATACATTCTCGCAGCCTGTCACAACCGAAGGTGCCACAACGATGCCAGCGGTCGGACTCGTCAACACCGTTCTCTCACAAAGCCTTGTCAGCCGGCTTTGTGCTGAACCTATCCTGCTTTTCACCATGCTCGTCAAAGAGCTGAACCTCGGTTCCAATACGCGTGCACGCTACAGCAACTGAAAGGAAGTCTCGCGCACATAGAAGGCAAGTTGCGATTTTGTCTGCTCCGACGGTGGCTAGCCTGTTACAGATTCCGCAGGCAATGTTCCATCATAAGCCAAAACCTTGTGCGAATTGAAATCGCTCCTGGTTGTGTTGTTGCTCCAGGATATGGATGTCACCTCCGGGGCTGACACCAATTTCTGTTTGACACACCTTCTGCGTCGCACTGGCTGTCGTACCCCGTTCTAAAGACCAAGATTGTGAAGGAAAAACCCTGCCGCGAACCTTGGACATGCCATCCACAGGCGCATTGAGATTTTTGAGATATCTGGCCAGGTGCAAACCAGAAGAGCGGCACCAGTCCAAGGCACGACGCTACTGCCAAAAAAACGCTGCTGAAAAAAACGACCTACCCAGCCCTGAACCAACCAAGTTCTCAACTACCAAAACTGCCGCATCTTCAGATTCGACTTCGACAATAAGCATTGCCAGCACTGCCTCAGCTGCATGGCTGCTAGGCCGCCCTCCTTCACGTCAGCAGACAACAAAGGTGGTTTGCGCTCAGCCGCCAAAACAACAACAAACTAAACTCCGAAACATCAAGTATAAACCAGTCCGAAAGAAGACTACCGAAGCCGGCAAAGGCGAACCCCCTCACAAGACCCTTTCTCGAATGGAGCTGATGAAAGTGGAAAGGCGGCTTCAAAACGTGTGAACCATCAACCTCCTTCCTTACGTCACCGGCCTGGGCGGGGGGCGGCGCGGGAGGCGCCCAGCCGGCTCGGGTCAGAAGAGCTGGTAGCGAGCAGAACACGGGCCAGACCTTTGTAAACCTCCAGCACACTGACGCAGCCCAGCTGGTCCTGATTTCATCCTTCTGTGTATACCACGCATCCTCCAGACCCCCACATCCCTGCAGCACTAAGACTCGCCGAAAGCAATGACATTGCCTTTTCAGATCCACAGCGGCGTGATGATTGTTTGGGTGAGACAAGCAGGAAGAACTGAACTTCTGAACAGAGTCGCTGTTGCAGGAAGCTCGACACTCGCCGCTCACAGCCAAGATACGAAAGACATTGCCGTCACTTCCGGATGTCAGATTGCCGAGTGTGGTGCCATCCCTCCGCTGATGCTTTCCCCGATGACTGCAGCGCCGAGAAAACTACTGAACCATCACCCTGTCATCCCATTTCTGATACAAAGCTGCCGTCCTTTCTCACTGCATTCATGGGCCGAATTCCTGGACAGTCTACACAGCTTGCACGACATCTGAAGCGTAGGCGAGTGTGCCCCACGTGCCATGCATCTGCCGGCCGCTGTCCATCTAAGACTCTCCCGTGCCTATGCAACTTGCGTGGGCACCTAAACTAGGAACGAGACAAGCTTGCGGGTGCTGGCAATGTCAGCGTCCGTTTTCAACAAGGCCCAAACAGCAAACAGTCCTTGTTGTGGCTGCAACGATGCTCGTATGCAAAACCTGGTAGTGTTCTGCCGGATGTTCCTGGAGTGAAACAATGCCCCAAAAAAGGGTTTCAAGAGGAGGCGTCAAAGGGAGGCTTGAAAGGGCTGCCGCAGGTGGTGCCCGAAAGGATAGCTGCGCCAAAACATACTTGGATGTTGTTGTGTTTGCAAATGGGGGGTCTGCGCCCCCGCCAGTTTTTACGCCCTGCATGCTTGCGTTATAGGATTAGCTCATCTCATCGATGCAAAAGCACATCATATGTATGTAAGTATATATGTGTATATATATATATATATATATATCTGTGTGTGTGTGTGTGCGTGTTTGTATTTGTTTGTTCATCTTTGCACTTAAACACGCTACATACCTTTTTTTACCAATAAAATATTATGTGGGTCTGTGTCCCTCGAACTTCCCGTTTCCTGTTTGTAAGCCGTGCATGCTTAAGAAGTTTATGCATGTAGACATCTAAAGACCTACATGTAGTTATGTATGTACGTATACACATATATATATATATATATATGTGTGTGTGTGTGTGTGCGCGTGCTTGTATTTGTTTGTTCATCTTTGCACTTAAGCACACTACATACCTTTTCGTATCAAGAAGACACTCCTCGGACTTCCCGCTTCTTTTTTGTAAGTCCTGCATGCTTAAGTCTGAAACCGCAGCTGCCAACAAGAAAAGTCAAGAAGGAGACAGCCAAACGAAGTCGCTAGAGGGGGGTTTAAAAAGCAAAGAAAATAGAGTAGAATGCCAGCCGACGTCGGTCTAGGGGGCTAAGAAGCGATGATTAAAGAAAAATCAAACATGATTGAAACACAAGGTGATTCGGTGAACGAAAAAGCGAAGAAACAAACGAATTCGGTTTAGGGGGTTCAGAAGCGAAGAAAAAGGTAAAATATGACTGAAACTGAAACACAATGTGCACTCGGTGAGCTAAAAAGCGAAGAAATTCCGCGAGACATACTGAAACGTCTTCTCCGACAGAAAAGAAAAAGAAAATTGATTGAAGGCCACTTTTTTTGTCTGCAGAACGTCAACACTGCAGGCTGCCACGACGCACTTTCTTTGTCCACAGAACGGCTACGACGACAACGACAACGACAACTAGTACTAGTACCACTATCTACGACTACGCCGAGTACGACGACGACCTACTACGACCACGACTACTACTACAACTACCAACTACTACGTACTTCTACACACTACTGCTACTGCTACTACTTACTGCTACTACTTCTACCACTACTACTCCTAAAGAAAAGAAGCTCTTGAAGCTTCGAAGAGGGAAGCAAGCGAAGGAGGGCTTCAAGAACTTGGAAGGTGGAAGGGAGGCTTGAAGAAAAAGAGTTTCAAAGCCGAGCGAGTTATGGCTACAAAAAGAAAGCTAGCAAGTGACAGGCGATTTATCGATTGAAAAAGAGTCATTGCTTACCGATTTATGTTGGTTTTGATCATTAATTCATGAAACAGATGAGACACGGTGCAAAGATGATTTCAATTTTAATCACTGCTTCGGTCTGCCTGCACAACCTCCGAACTGGCCTTTTGTGATCTTTGTGTTTCTGCGTGCACTCAACGCAGAGTGGACATTCCAGAAACCAGTCAGAACTCCTTCTGCTTGAACCCAGGTGCAATCTCTAGATTCAAAAACCTGGGTTCAATCTGGATTCAACACATCGCAATCAAGCGTGCAAGCTGCAATCCACTCTTCAAAAGCTGTTTGGAACTGTGTCTTTTGTCAACGTGAATTCGCTGTCAACTTCATGTATGTTCATCAAATTTTCGGTAAACTGACCAAAAATTAAGGCCAAAGCGAAATACATGGAAACAGAGCTGAACAAAAGACAAAATTCATATACTAAGTCCAGTCCAAGAGCAAGCCATTGTTGATTTTTGATCCAACTGATGCATGATGCCAGAACTGCCATGTCATGTTAAATCCAGATCTGGTCCGCTGCGCCAAATTCCAAAGCGGGAAGATGCAAGTCCCGCATGAAACGGTTGACTGCTATGCATATTCTTTTATCGAGACACGCTGGAAGCATTACCCCCATGAGCGAACAACCCAAGGTGCAGCAATACTGATCAAATGCTCCAATTCCTATTGTGGCGACCAAGCATCGAGTAAGAAAACGACATGCTTCGGAAGGTGTTTTGCAAAGCATAGGTTTTTGCAGGGTGTTAACATAATCGGAACTGAACTCTATCACCAAGCTTCAGTCAGATTTAATATTCTTTTTTGGCGTGCACGATTGGGATACAACAAAACCTCGGAGTTAACCGCAGTTTGGAACGCGGCTGGAGTCTTGGACCCCACTGACGGTTTTTGGACAACTTTGGACAACGCTCTTCTGTTGTCGAAAGTATTCTTTTTCGAACACTGGTGTTTGAACTCTGGTTCGAACACTGGTGTTTGAACCCTGGCTCATTCACTGTGTTTGGACTCTGGGTTCAAAACACCCCGGTGTTTGAACTCCAAGTTCAACCTTATGGCGGTGGTGAGCAACGAATGGCGCAATACCTCACAGTGATGTTGATGAGCTGCTGCAGGGTCGTCTGCAAAATGCTCTGGTGAGACAGCAGCAACTGGACTTGCAACAGCACACCGCAATGAAGCGATTCAGTTGAGACTCGTGCCGCCATCTCTAGCAGTGCAAAAGCCAAGTCTAGGCTTCGGTTGCTCGCCAGACAAGAGACAACCCCTGTGTTTTGTTCCATCACGATCGCGCAGACCAAAATCCAAGAAGTCCAAGGCGCAGCGGCTTTCTGGCAACCGCCTTCATCGATCTTAAACCAAGCTGCTTGACAACGTCCAATTCCTGCCAGTGACAAAGTTGTTCGACCACGACACGTGGTGCGAAAAGCGCCGCCGGCAGCAGAATCGAAACAATGTCTCCAGTTGAGAGCTGGAACACTGAGTCAGCCGCTAAGACAGGCAGAGATCGCCAAGGCGGTGTCTCGTCAGCTGTAGCACTCGGTCCCTACAAAAGTGAAACTACAATCCAAGCATCAAACTACAAGAAAGCGGTAAACAGCAAAGCGAAGCTCTACAAAGGGCTGCAGAAACTTTGCTGGTGTTGCCATGCAGCGCAAACTACGGAGTTTTTGCGACGTTAAAGCCACCCAAAACAACAGGTGGCGTCCACTCCGGTTGCCGTTCTAGTCTTGCCAGACAACGGACAACCGTGTTTTGTTCCGTTACGATAAGGAGTGCGAAGATGGCAATTGGTCGCTCAATGCTTCTGCTCTGCCGCGAAGACATCTCTATGGCCTCCCTCTTTGACAAGGAGCTTTCAGGAAAGAGGCTTTAGAAGGGGGCTTGAAGAGGGCTTGAAGGGGGGAAGATGAAGGGGGGTTTCGAAGTCTTCAAAGTTTGGGTGCTACATTGTATTTTCTTCGCAAACGCCCCAAAAAGCGATTTCGTGTGGCTTCTTCTTCTTTTGTGTTTGTGTTCATTTGTTTTGTTTCATTAAGTTTGTTTTTTTTCATATTTTCTTTGCAAAAATCACCATCAAACGATTTCGTGTGGCTTCTTCTTCTGGTTTTGTGTGTGTGTGTGTGTGTGTGTGTGTGATTGCGTGGGAGGCTTAAAGGGAGCTTAAGGGGGGCTTCCGGGAGGCTTAAAGGGGGGCTTAAAGGGGGGCTTAAGGGGGGCTTAAAGGGGGGCTTAAAGGGGGGCTTAAGGGGGGGGTTGAAGGGGGGCTTTAAAGGGGCTTTAAGGGGGGCTTAAAGGCTTCGACCCTTTGCCCCCCCTCCCCCTTAGGGGAGACCCCTTTAAAGGGGGCTTTAAAGGGGCTTAAAGGGGGGCTTCAAGGGGGGCTT